ATCAGTCATGATTATGATTTAATCGAGTGGGCTCAATCTTAATTAAACTACCGGTGCCGGCAGTAAGTATGTTCTTTTGTGGGCAGTACGACATTGCTTCTAATAACTTATGATAACAGCGATGTTCAGGATGGCCGGTAGTACACAACAGCTTCGTTCACTTGACTCTGTTTCTCATTTTGGTTCCAGCAGTTGGTCAGTTGGCTTTATTCAAATGTAATCTAGAATAAGATTTGACAGCAAATTATTTGGAAATGAATCCTGTCGATTTTTACCGAGAACATCCCAACCAAGATAACCTTCCATATTTGAAAAGGCTATGGTTCCAAATATGGCAATATTCGGCTCAACATAATTTTTTGTTTAAAATGGGCGTCATAAAACCGCCTGAAAGACGAAGACTTGAAGATGAACATCGAATTGCTGGCACTTCCATTGGAAGCAAATTTGAATAAAAGTAGTCGGGAAAAGAATCCAGCTGCAAATATTTCCATGAATTTGTTTAAATTCGGTGTGAAAATAAATTTGAATAAAAGTTTTCATAAATTCATACGTTTTAACTCATCATTTCCGCAATGACCTCTAATGACATAAGGTCATATTAATGCCAACAAGACTAAATTTGTTCTATTCCATCCAAGTAAGCATAAAAATTTGAATTGCTCAAAATCTTTGTCAGTCAATGGCAAAGAAATTGAAAGGGTGAGTGAAACAAAATTCTTGGGAGTTATCTTTGATGAAAATTTATCTTGGAAATCACAAATTACACATGTTATTGGTAAAACAAAAATAAGTTTGGCAATTGCTGCCAAGGTTTTACAGTGTGTTAATCAATCGGCTTTACTAGCAATGTTCCAATCAATAATACTCAGCCACATCCGATACTGTTGCTAATGTTTGGCTCCATGGAAACAAAACACTATTCCCAAATAGTCTGCAAAGTACTTGTAATAGTTGTTTAAGAATTGTCTTTAAGAAAACAAGATATGAAAGTGTAGACCATTACTTCAAATCGCTAAATATACTTAAGGTTGGAGATACGATGAAATTTGAAGTATTGTCATTAGCTTATGACTTTCATAATAACGCACTACCAAACTGCTTCGATGACATACTTATCAAAAATATCACCAACCGAAGAAGTATCTCCGATTTGTTCCTACCCTTCACGAGTAAATCTGTGAGCCAGCATTCTCTGTTTTAATGGACTCAAACTACAATGAAAACATTGAAGTCTAAAAAATCTTTTTAAAAACAAGTCAAGTCTTATCTAGTCTCCAAATAGTAAAAATTACTGTTTCAAAAACTCACTGATACGTGTTAATAGCTTCGAAACAATCAAATCTCAGAGAAAATGTATATCTTTTTGACGAACTTTGTGCCCCATTGCCCATTGCTACAAGAAAGAGCCGTGAAAAAGGCTATTAATCGTGTAAGACTATCCAAGTATACACAATTAATTTAGTTTCACATGTTCAATTACTACCGACAGTACACATATGGAAGTAAAAATAATATCATCGAACTGTGGTTAGTCAGCCAATATTTAACGTTTTATTTCGTCAAAATATATATAGAAACGTTGTCGTAGAGTCTGGCCTACGAGTTTGCTTGTCACAAATTGATCTGTCACATTAATGTCGTCTGTGTTGTTGTGTCCAAATGAAACATTATCCTTCCTCGATGGTTAGGCACATTAATTGGTATAGGATAGGGGTCCGCAAAAAATAATATCCACAAACAGGGGTCCGCAGCCCGAAAAGTTTGGGAAACCCTGGACTTTAATCAACAACATAATTATTTATTTTATGGTAATATATTCAAATTTTCAAATATATTCAAAGTTCTGACATATCACATAGACTGTATACACGGGCGCAGCTTAAGGGGTACCCCCCCCCCTTTTGAAATGTAAAAAATGTATGATACATAGCAATGTTTCGTAACTTGAAACGCGTTTTAGACCCTCTAGACCAGGGGTTCTCAATCAGGGGTTTGCGGACCCCTAGGGGTTCACGGGAAAATTCCCAGGGGTACTTGTATGGCAGTTGAGTTTCACTGTGTTTCTACTTTTTAATATCATTTACTACCAGAGATAATGGGAGCCGCTGCTCAATAACCAAATTTGGTCTCTCGCGGCTCCCATCACCCTGAAATGCGTTTTAATTATTTATTGCAATTTGTATATCTACTGTGCTTTTAATATGGTGAGAAAATAAACTACTGATTACTGAGAGAAAAATGCGTGCCGGTTTAAAGCCAGCGTAGAATTCCCCTGACCTTGCGTTGTTGTGAAAAATGTGAAATCCACGACTTTGCAGCCAAACTGTGAATCTCAAAATACATTGGGCTGCTAGCATTGCGGAAAGTGATATGCTAATTGAATCTTGAGAGATAGATTTAAGAATTTAATAGTTAGGTGGATGACTAGGGCAATAACAACAACACGAAGATTTGATTTAGTTATATTAGTTGGTCAATAAATTGATGTTATAGCAAATTGTTAGTCAATATATCAGATTTCTATTTGGTGTCTAATTACTGGGGGTTCGGGTTGATTGTTTCATGAACAGGGAGTATGCAACAAGAGAAAAGTTGGGACCCCAAACTTGAAAATTCTTGACTACCTTTCTGGCTGTATATACAAATTACTTGAATCACCGTGGATGTATATTGAATTGACTATATCCGAATATGACAGCAGTCGCTGTTTATGTACACTACTTGAATGAATGCGTATTATGTTGAATTGGATTTGTATGCACATGACATTGACTGTACAAGTACATCACCTGAATGGTTGTCTATTTTTGTTGTGTTGGCTGTATACTGAGTATACTATAAGAGTTTCAGCAAGAAGAGACAGCTATCTACACATATCATCTATATTTAGCGATTTTTTTCATCAACAGCATGAACAGTATGACTATGATTTCAAAATGATCCATAAACCCAATTTCCGAGTACTCACCTTCGAGCGGTGTAGCATTTACTTGGACGAAGAACAGAACCGCCACGAACATCAGTGAGATGACGAAATAGGAATATTTGAAATTATACATTGCTAACTTTGTTTGCGTGCACTTTTTTGTATATTCACTAATTTGATATTTAGATGAATCTAGCTAGAAGATAAATCAAAAGTTAACTAAATTGTTTTCTTTTCAAATGACAAAATGTCGTTCCTTAGTAAAAGTTGTAGACTGTTTTTTGGGCGCTCCAGAAGTATGTGTACCAGTATGGAGGTAAATAATTTTGTTTCCCTACTCTACATCAAGTTGTGTAAAGGGACTAAAACCTATGGGCAGGGGGTGTATTCACTTGGCTGACGCAGTCCCGAACTAGTAATAGAACAAAAATAAGGAAAATCGCAATAAAATTATTGCCTAACCCTAAACTGCTACACATAATATGGGAGTACCGTTTTTTGACCTTCTACCCGAGACGACCGCCAGACAACTACTGGCCTCGTTGTTATGCGATACATAAATAGACTTGTCTATTATGCGTGTGAAAAAGCAACGGGCAGTGAAAGAAGCTACCGAGTTTCTGGCTTGTTTACTGAATTCTCACTGCTCCTCATTAATCAACTCGTTCCGACGTCTTACATCGAAAGGGTTTGACTTTCGTTAAGTTTATCATCTGAGAGAAATGTTATATATATATATATCACGTGGTAGGTGGAGTTCTGATTTTCAATATGTTTGCTTGTCTGTGTCACTCAAAAAAGAAACATGCCTGGCAAAAAAACATCATCATGAAAAATTAATGTCGGAAAAGCTTTGAACAATCTCGAAATAGATCTCGAATCATTTTATCATTGCCGTAGTTTTCTCTTCATCACCAACAATATATGTTTACTCATGTCCCCTAGGGGTCATCCCGCTTACACAACTTGATTTTAAGTATAGGCGAACAAAGTAGAACACACTTCTGGAGAGCCAGTTATTTATCTTTTTCATTTTTGGTGATAAAAACCATTTGATGATTTCATGATATTGTCTTTTCTGTACAAATGAAACTAGTTTGAACAACTACAACAAAAAAAAATTAGTTTAGAAAAAAGTTACAATTAACAGTACGTTGCGTAAAGCAATATTCAATTTCTCATCGACTAAATATATATATATAATAGTGATTTTGTCTTGTTTCGTTAACATGTCAGTCGCTGATGGCATTTTGTCGATTGAATTCAGAGTAGAATGGGAGCCATGACAAAATGCAGCGTGGATGATTGTTATCAGGTATTTTTAAACCGAAAATATTAGATCGACAAGTCGAATATCATTTCCATTTAATTTGCCAATTGCACTGATGCTCTCATCTATGTATAAGTTGTTGCGATGCTGCCAGGACGTAATGAACTTTTTGTCAATTTAATTGGTATATTTTAGATTTAGACAGACATTATATAAAACTACGAGGTGCTGTTATATCTACTTACAAATATAAAGCAAGCGTAACCACAGCCGTTCACATTGTTTATGTATTCAGAAACTGAAAACACGGAAGCCCAATTCAGTGAAGTCCGCTGTGCATCGAAAACCGGTGTCACTTAAAACTTTGAGTATCTATCACGGGCACGTGTTTGCAAATATTACGCCAACACGTGGATTTACGCAAGGGCAGTTTTAAGGGGAGTAGCCAGTAACAGCTGGCGTGCTTCGACGGTGGCCGGAAAACGTGGATTTTCAAGAGTTTCACGCTACGAAATTTGCTATGTATGATACAGAAACATGTTTTTTTTAGATCTTCAAAAAAAAATGTCAATTATGAAGGCCGATGCTTTTGGCATCAATCAGATGTTGCCTCTACATTTTAGGTGCATAACGACACATATTGATTTACCTTTGATCAATGAGTACCGACTTTGCCGACGCCTGAACGTTTGAAATGAAATGGTCGATTTTCCCATCATGGAAATGACTGACAACATCAGAGACAGTTCAGCTAAACTATCGACATGGCTAACTCGTGGAGGTAGAGGTACTAGATAAGCGAAATGTTTTTCCTTCGTTACGTAAATGCACATATCACAATATAGAGTGGGAAAAAGTATGAATTATTCTAACAAAATTAACTAAATGTAAATAAATAAACTATGTAATACTGTTAACTTAACGTAAAACATAACACATAAACAACAATAGAGAACAAAGCATACATACGGTGCATCATAGCTGCCAAATTGATTGATATCACAGAAATAGCCGAGCAAAACGCTATGTAAATATTGAACATAAAAATTGTTCGAGTAATTCATGAGAATATAAAAATGTGTGAATACTTTTTCTTACGATTTATCTTTACGCTTACGATTTATCGTGGACAACTTATTCCTATGTAGTACCGTAAATAATATCTTCACAAAATATTCGCTGTTTTATTCGCTTTTTATATCGCCTAATTCCGATCATCTATTCTACACAAATTGCAAAAGTTATAAACTCAGTTATAATAGAAAAGGTGTTCCAATTTATTCCTTTATTTTTTTAATGCTTGAAAATGATAAATTGAACACATATGAAAATTGCGATTCATTTCATTTGGTGCAGCACAGTCTCCTGGGAACGTTCCATCCGTAATGGATATTTAACATGTCTTTAAAATGATATTCCAACGTATCCTATTCTGCATAGAGCATAAAAGTTTCGTTTTGTTTCAAACAACGTTTCTTATACTGCAGTGGTAACACTCGCTGCCGAAGGAGGGGAAGCTCGATTCTCACGTCGTTCCTTGATATTTTCCCGATTTTTTTTTCGAAACAGCACAAACAGAATGGACCAATGGCTCTTGAATGTTGTTAGAGCACAGTAAGCGTTGATAAAAGTGCTAACGCCGAATATTGTGTCCATTATTGAGCGCGGATAGATGGTGTGGGGTAGAACGCTCTTTAAACCACCTCCTAAGACGTCTGACAAAATTGCGATGATTGTGCCAACTATGCAACGATTTATGATTTGACCTACTGGACTGCTGGAGTTTGTAGCGATGCAACTAAAACAACGCGATTGGTTATGAACTTCATTGGTTGATGCTTTCTTGGTCGGGCTTTGATTGTGCCTCTGCATAACTTTGTCACTTCGAATCACTGGGTAAATGAACAAGCCCAGCAGTAAAACTTGTGACAATGTCAGTCCTGTACCAAGAAGAGCTCCAACTAAAGGATAAGAAGAACGATTCGTACGTTTTACACAGCCATAAGTAGATCCAATAAACTTTTTCGGAATAATAGAGTTGCCAATAATTCCCACAAAGGTTAACGTGATTCCCGCCAGTGCCAACCAACTGATGGCATTTACATATTTTCCAGCAAGTTGAAGAGTTGAGGGATGGGCATACAAGAGTTTCTGTCGCAGCCAGAGAAAAAAATACATCGCATATCGAGAGAGAAGTCGGATTGTTATTGCAACATCTGATATCAGCTCACACCACTGTAAAGCATTTTCTATTGAAGGAAGTTGAAACATTGCCGCATAAATGGAATATCTTGGTACAAGCAGAGCTATTGAAAGCATACAAACGTTATAGGCAAGTTTACTGTTGGATTTGGACCTTCCGTCATTCTTTTTCCAATTTTCATTCGTCATTCCATAGTATATCATTGATATAAAGATCCATGAAGACAATGAAAGGAGAATGGCATTGACTGCCTGACTTATGATGATAACATTCGTGAGATCAAGGTCTGAAGTTGCATTTTTCAAAATAGCCATTGTGCTATTTAAGAACGATGTTTCACTTTCATTCGTCATTTTGAATTGAGTGGAGTTGTTTTTGAGAATAAATATATTGTATAGTTGGTATTTATATCGACCTGACAAAACGAACAAAAAAAAAGGTAAACAATAATCACTAAAACTTTCACAAAGATGAGTCTAACACTGACATGTGCAAACTACAGCCCGCGGGCCAAATCCGACTCGTTGGGTAATTCAATATGGGCCCGCCTGATGCTGCGACAACCAAACTAAAACCAAATTTTGCGCTGTTTTAGCTAAAAAATAACCCACGGAATTTGTTGAAATTGCGATTAAATCTAATTTATGATAGAAATAAATGATGAAAATCGGAATAAAATTATGGCCTAACTCTAACCTAGTACACACACAAGTGAGTACCCAAAAAACACCGCTGTTCCCTGGCTGTGTCAGTGTAAAATTATGAACTTCTGCTGTGAACAAATACTTGAATCAGCTATAAACAAGCATTGATTTCACAATAAGGAGTATTATTAGAAGGCAGTCCCGATATCATTGAGAATTGATTGAAAAGACAATGATTTGTAATAATACATAATTGAAGCTTATCATTTTCTGATAAAACAAGAAAGGTCCTAGTTTTTATATAGGATATATATATAATATGAGTTAAATAGGATCTCATTTTAGGAAGGCGTGGTATTTTCAAAAGGAAGAAGTCGATTTTCCTTCGAGTAAACTTTTTCAACTCGCAACGACATTGTTGTAAGCATCGATTTTGTCAAACGCTGTTTTTATGCAATGACTTAACAACATCCCACTTTCGCAAAAACTGCTATTTTCTTTTTGTCCAATTTCTCTCTAATTTAAACTTATTAAAAATGCGCAAAAAAAAATATTATATTATGATATGTGCATTTACGTAATGAACAAAAAACAGTTAATTTACCTAGTACTGCCACAAGGTAGTCATGTGGATTGCTTTGTTAATCAAATCGTTGCCGATGTTGGCAGTCATTCCGTTGAGGGAGGTAATCGGCCATTTTATTTCAAACACTCTCAAAGATGGTTGAACCAGCAAGTGGACTATTACTCTGATCTTTTTTTTTTATTATAAATTTCATTTTTGACTCGAAATCCAACCCCTAAATTTTGCTGTATCTACAACTTATGCGACACCCCTTGAACCAGTCGTCAACAAAGCCGATGCCCACTGCTCAGCAAGATTGCAAATCAAGTCCCAATCATAGAAATTGCAAAATAAATCGAGTAAAGATTCTCATGTCTTAGCGGCATCACAGACATTTATACGTCAAAAATACAGAGGGCATCAGTGCAATGACAAACTATATGAAACTGGTTGTTGCACATTTAATCTAATTTCATTTGTTACCTGAAAATCTCGCTACTGATAACGATCAACGACTAAGCATTTTTGTTGTCTACAATTGACAGAATGTCATCAACCTATATGATTACTAAATAAGGCGGAATCATCAACCGAAATATATTCATTTTAATATATACGCGTATCGCTGAATACATTTAATATATATAGCTTTTTATGTACTCCCGTAGTGTGTGTACGAGGTTAGGGTTAGGCCATAATTTTATTTCGATTTTCCTTATTTTAGTTCTTATTTTTACGAGTTCGGGGACTGTCTGTGTTAGCCAAGTAAATATCCCCCTGCTCATAAGTTTCAGTCCCTTTACACAACTTGATGTAAAGTAGGCGAACAAAATTAGTTACTGTTAAGTGTTAATTCATAATGGTACACACATTTTCGGAGAGCCGACTTTGTAAGGTACGTTTATTTTTAACTTTATTTCAATGTAATTGTTTCAACATTTTTACCACAAGACAATACATTAAAATCATTTAGCACTATTTTATCACTAATAATAAGAATATATAAACCTTTCAGAACTTATTCACTCCATATCAATTAACAAAATTTTCTTTGTTGGATAATTTTGTAGACTATCATCCGTTTTCGTACCGGTAGTCGCTAGGCTGCGATAGCGTTCTATTGTGTCAGAATACACAAATAGGATTTTCAGGCAGTGCGGTAACTTCTACAACCGTTTGAAAATCGATCTGACGTGTCGATAATGAGCAGTTTATAATTGGACAGCCCAGAACATACGACATAATTACCGTGTTTATGTCTGTAATCGTTCATCAATCAACTTGTTTTCAATTCAAGTGTTTAAAATTGCTGCCTCGCATCACTGTCTTTTCAACATCTTAGTACCAGTGACAATTCGAACATCAAAACAAACACGTCTTCTTTCTACAACAACATAACGGCAACGTCCAAAACCAAAAACCTTCCAGTTCCTGGGTCAAAACGGCGACTGCTTGGCATGTACCAGGTCCCATAGACGAAATTTGATGTGCTTCGCGCAACTAATGGTGGTATATGAAAGTGTATTAAATGAAGTAAAATACCGCTGATTGAGATATAACGAACATGGTTAAAGATGGGTTATCTAGTACAATTTTTTGTGGCAAATTTAATTCTATATAACTTTTTAGGATTTTTGGCGTTTCCCGCGTACATGAAGTAAAATAACATATTCAGTTCGTCTTTATTCTATGCATCGTTCTGTGAGACTTCCCCAAGGGTGCCGCCGCTCGATAACCAGAATTGGTTTTCGGCGTCTCCTTTCACCCTAAAATGCGATTTTTCTTCATTCCTTCGCTTTATGTATGTATAGTTTGTATTTTCAGCATGGTGAAAAAATAAATTACCGATTACTGAATATGAATGTACCTAATGAAAAGTCGTTGACTAATTTCGGATGTAACGTCAGTTAACGGATATTTGACAATTCATTCTAAATCTTATCAACATCGGCACAAATAACGATGGTGTTTGAAATGTAACACTACTCTCGGGTTCATGAGTAAACTTATGTTGTTTGCGATGAAGAGAACACTGAGGCAATGTAGAAAACTGAGTCAAACTGCAAACTGCAGTATCATAAAGGGTTTTGGCGCTGCAGCATGCCAATATCTTCAAATACTGGGGTTGCATTATCAGAAATAACAGTAACTTACCAAATCGAGGTTAAAATATACTCGATCTCTGTGACAAATTATTGCTGTAACATATTCCAAGTGAAAAGTATTGAAGTTACGGTGAAATGCTATTGAAAAAACTTAACGACTGACGTTTTTTAACAGTATTGAAGTTACGGTGAAATGTCATTTAAACGTTTAGCCATAGTACTATTAATAAGCGACAGTCGTTAAACGTTTAAATTAGCATTTCGCCGTAACTTCAATACCTTCAAAAAGCGTTACCCGGTTGTAGCTTACGGTTGCAAACAATGTTGATCGCTTTACTGTCAGATTAAGGCACAAGAATGTTCCATGGCATACGTTTATTACGTATGTATAATAAGAATTGTCCATCTCTACTGCGTGATTGGCGTGCCACAAAGATATACTACGCCTTAGGGTGGGTACGCCCCCTTTTTTGGGGGGGGGGGGTCGAGATACATTTGCATCGGCTTCATTCCAAAAGGTGGTCATTAAAAACCTCCTTTAAGAAAATAAGCAAAAATATATTTTTGGTTTTTAAAGCGTTTTATTCAATACTTTGTTGGATATTGTTTGCTTGCTTGTTTGAAATTCTAACATTCACCCTTTTGTCTATGTAACTCATGAATTAATGTTTATCCAGAAAGTGTAGCTGTCATTGATTCTAGTTCCAATTGATAGTGACAAGCGACGATTATTGATGATTGGTATATAATGTGTTGACGAGAATCTCACCGAATCATATTACTTTCATTCCTAAATAATTTTCAGTGTGGTTTCGGCACAATTTGATGCAATGTTACTTGTAAAGATTATAAGAGATTCAAAAATAAATTAATTTGTATGTCCATGTGTGGAGTTTATATTGTAATAATTAGGGTCTAAAACCGAGTCTAATTTACAGTATACATTAATATTCCGAAACAATGCTTTATCCGGTTGTACATATAAAGGGTGCCCATAAAGTCTTGAATACTTTTAAAATTGCAAAAGAAATTTTTCGATAATATATTTTGCTTTGGCCCTCACAGATGTATTAAATGAACTGAACAGTTATTGATTAAAAACAACAAATCTGGTTAGGATATACTGAGAACTAACTTCATAACAAAATTGAAGTTGCAAAAGGACTTTGTGGACACTCTGTATAATATAGTGTTACATCAAGCTATTAGGTCGCATACTCTCTGATTTCCGTCAGATGAAGCTCTTCCGGCATTCACATTGCATTACGAATTTACAATTCATCGGGCAATTTACGATGTTCTACCTGATTCTGGCTACGTATTTCTACACCTATAAAATTTTAAGGTCTCAAAACGTTCGTGCGTGCTTTGCAAGGATAACAAATAAAGCGTGATCAGATATTTGTGTTATGGGGCGTTTGCGTCGCAAACCAAATTTGTTTAACGTGTGCTCGACGACGTAAAATGCCAAAGCGACGAGGATTGACGCACGTAAAGCGTCTCGCCTGAGTAAATAAAAGGGAAACCTCAATTAGATCGCAAAGTTTTTACTCCACTCACGCAAAAGTTTCAATATTAGCAAGAAAAGGTGTGCTGTCAAGGGTTAGACCACATTTTTACGCCATCTTGATTCGATTCTTTGTGCGTATTATTTATTTAGCGAATTGTTTAAAAGGGACGCTAGTCCGTGGTGACGGTCATGTCAACGGTCTCAGCTTTAGTCGAAAACATCATGAACACAGAGATTACAAACGTAGTTCCTATTCGGCTGTGCAATTTTCAAGCCGGAGAGAAAGATTCGGAGACGCAAGATCGAAATATTTTCATCACAGTTGAGCTTCAGAACGCTAATGGAAAATATTACCAGGTATTTTAATATTAATTAACTTTATTTAATCAAAATAAATAAAAATTCTCCAGTTTCACAAAATAGATACATTTATAACAGAAAAGGAAGGATGAGTAAAGAAAACTAAAACATTGTTAACACTGTTTCAGCAAATATATTCAGTAGCTGTGAAATTAATATTTTGTCTCGTAACTGAAGACTTTTTTTACCTTATCTTTGACAAAAAACATCTCGCAATACTCTTCAACGTGATGTCGCGAATTAAATATTACAAAATTGGGAAAAAATGAAGAAGAATAGCTATAATAAAGCGTTGGAATATTTTTTGAAGTTTTTCATTATACTTTATAAATATATGTTATATCTTTTAATTAATTTTTGCACTATGTTGTTATACACGATGTCCCGTAGTGGCGGCAATACTGAAACAGTTCTTTTTGCTTCAAACACTCCCGTTTAAATCTAGAAATATCTTTAGTAATTAATTAGAAAAATTAGGTTACATAATTTTCGCTTTAGAATGATTTATTATATTCATTGTATATAAATAATTACAAAGTTCTTTTTAAATCTTTAATATAATGTAAGTGAATACTTTGAATAAATCGCGAGTGGTTAATTGGCTCAATTTTCATACATAGATTGGAAGGTCTGGCGTTATATCCGCACAGAATGAATCGAGCGTCAAAATAGATCACTGCATACAAGCTCCATATTTCTTTGCTGAACTTCAGCGGATGAAATTTGTTGTATACGATGCGCCTAAAGAAACTGAAGAAAACCAATCTAATGAAAACGAACCAGTAACATGCACAATTGTTACTGTAGCACAGGTGGGTCTAATAATAGTTTTCATGATAGCACTTAAAAGACCGTTATAAAAAGGTAGCATGCATCAGGAACATTGAACCGATGGTTATACCTATAACTGACCCGTAGTCACAAAACATCGGTCATAAGCAAGAAAGCAATTACGATTTTGAGTTTTTTTCACATTCCCTTATAACAAGATTTCGTGCGTGGTCACTATACCGTTGACGAAAAGACTGTCCACAGCTACCTAATCTGTCTTACCGCGTACCGAGTGTCGGGCACAGGAGTCCTAAAATCAAAACGGGGGGCTATCACGTTTAATATTTTTATCGTCAAGACTTATGAGTTACCGGCATTTTGGGATGAAACAAATACCGTGTCGTGTTAGTCAAGTGCACTTCAACTGTGAATCCAGGATACTGAGTAACGCTTACATTGGATATATGGACCCCTCACGTCGTTGAGATTCATGTAATGAATGATCAGTTTAGACATACTCTACCAGTAAGTCCGTGCATCTGAAGCTTTCTTTCCCATAGTTAACTGTTTTGAGGACCGTGCCGAGAGACCGTACTTCGCCATATAACTGAACTGTCTGTGTTCTTTCCCCCGGTTAAATATGATTTTCTAAATCTTAGATTATAAGGATGCAACCATTGCGAATTTTCACATTTTGTATCAAATTTGATTTATTCTAGATTGTTGTTGCACAAGAACTGAAAATCGATTTCCAGAATAACATTGGAAGTATTACGGTTTGTTCATTTATTTTCTCATTTTCCTATTAATTAGAATTTGATTCATAACCTATTATGGATCTTTTGTACAAAGCCCCATGCCAACGCTTAAAATAAGAAAATTAATAATTATCCAGTTAGAGTTTGGGGTAGGAATGCAGATTGCGCTGGAAGTTCAATTCATTCCTAACTCTAACTGGATAACTACTAATTTATTATCTTCAAACGTGGCGAGGGTAATTTTCTCAAATCTCACATTTTGTATTAGTAGCGAGGACTTTGTACAAAAGATCCTATCCTCTTTGTATCCTATCGTTAGTCAGTTATATTGAAACGACAAACACTTTGATAATAATGCAGTGTGGAGAAAAACTGTTCTGGGTAGAAAAAATTAAAAACCAAATCGGATGACGTTAGGTAGCAGAGCGAACCGTGGGCTATAAGTCCAATGGTAAAACGTCCATAAAACAAACAAATAGACGCAACGATACGTTGATTTTATATGGTTGTCTCATGATCAGTCCGCCATACACAAGGTTCAAAGCACCTGGCCACCTAAATTATTTGGGTATTTCGGAGACGTCTACCAACTATATTTCGGAGAGGGATACTAAATAGTCATACTCAGTGGTGGGATTCAGCCGATTTCGCACCGGTTCTATAGAACCGTCTCACGGGATTTTATGAGATCAGCGAACCGGTTAGCATTACTGGTTACTGTCAATGGGTTTTTGCATCTTATCTGGCACACAAATTTTTAAGATCAAGTAGCTCACAGTTTTTTTTTCAAAATGTAAAATGATCAATTTCTCACGACGTAACAATTATACATTGTGTTAATTTTTATAATTGTAGTAATTTTTCTTTTGTGCTAATTTTGACATATTGATGCTTACTTAACCATTATTTTGAAATGTTGATTAAGAAGTAAATAAAAATAAACAGTTTAGTTGCTAAAAAATATGACTTTTTGTAACAGAACCGGCTGAAAAATATGACTTTTGTAATGGAACCAGCTAACAAAAAATTTGAATCCCACCCATGGTCATACTGTATTGTGAAACTGAGCGACATGACATTGCGTTTAGCAATATACAATCACCCCCATTGTTCTACATTGCGTAATCCATTACTAGAGGATATAGTCTCGCCTTAGTCGTATTCACTCGCAAATAAAATTAAACTCAACAATTTTTATGGAGAATATCCCAAAAGGGATCATTAAATCTCTATTCAAACATGAGCTTGAACTTGTGTTTGAAATGCTTTGTTTGAAATTATAAAACTTAAATAGCAAATATTTATCGACTATCGTCATCAAGAATTTTTGTGAGAATTATTTCAAAAGATTCATGGTTTATGTTGCCAGGATTCCAGTCATAATATTGTAGTAATATTATGATTGTTCAATCACCTTCCGTCGTAAAATAAGTATTTTAACTGTCACGTCATTATATAACTGTTTGTTATACTCAGAGCCTGCCAATAGGTTTTGTGGTGAATCGCACAAAAATGAGTCTAGTGACATCAAATATATGTGTATTAACAGGTTTATATCAAGTCTTGACATTCTACGTTTTTGAATTTAAATTCAGTTTATGATATACGGTCTATATCAGGAATGGGCAAGGTTTTTGGACCCAGGGCCGAAAATTTTGCCGACCTATAGATTGGCGGTTCATGAAAGTGTGACGTAAAAAGTTACATTTTATGAACAATATTTACAGTGGTAAAAAGCAAAAGTGGAAACAATAAGCCTCGTGCGAAAAATACATTTAATCGCAATTTCAACAAACTTCTCCAAATTTTTTTCATCTGAAACATCAAAATTTGGTTTTAGTTTGATTATGGCAACATCAGACGGGCAGATTGAAGTACTCAGCAGGTCGGATTTGGCCCGCGTGTCATAGTTTGACCATTTCAGATCTGTATCCTATAAATGTTGCTCTTATTCCATGGATTTACTATAAAACATCGGAACAATAAGTTGTGGATAATTCATGAATATTGCTTTACGAAAGGCTGTATTACTGGGAAGTCGTAAGGCTGTAAATATCAAGTAATTGTTTAATAAAAACATGTTGCCATAGACGCGAATTTTGCGGCAGGCTATAGCGACCTTACGGTTCTTCCGATTAGGTAGTTTTCCAAGACGAAAAAAGGATGTCACTTCTTTTCTGGATACTCAACTCACACTAACTGGGGATTATTTGTTTAAATATATGTTTGTGCAGTTTTCTGACAATTTTATTCATCAAAAAATGACCAAGATTTATATTCCTGGTATTTTATATGATTTCTCATCATCTTTTAAAAATTTAATTACTTCTAAAGGTACGAACTGAAGAAGTTGAAGACAGTCGATACGTCGAATTTGATATTTGCGCAGAAAAACTCGAGAAAAAGGATTTGTTTGGGAAAAGCGATCCATACCTCGAAATATCACACAAAGATAAAGATGGGAAATGGACAGTGATTCATAAAACTGAGGTAAAAGAAGCAACTCAATAATTGTGGTTGAAAATAACGCATTTTGGCGACGCATCAGTATTGAACGTGGTGTTTATTCGATTGGAAATTCCCTCAAATATTTTTGAGCAATCTGGTTTAATTCAGATCTTTTCAAATTGAAAAACTATTCGTTTTGAAGGATGTCTTCGAAACCGGCCTACCTGTATACTAAATTCTGAAGTGGAAGCTATTTGTTGTGCATTAACTGTTACGCTGTTTATTTGTAAATAACCCATTTTATTTATTTATAGTTTTATACTGAGCCTCCGGCCATATAACCAACCCAGGGAAGTAATTGCCCACCCCTGGGTTAAAGTATTCTTTGCTTACATTTAATCAATGATACAGATGAATACATTCGCAAAGAGCAATAAAAACATTTTTTTTTACTCTTTTGTAAGATTTTAGTTTGAATTTACCATTTGAAAAACTCGCAAATGGAATTTGCGTGTGCTTTATACAAAAATAGGCATTTAAGTGCGCATAAACCACGAACTGCCACTTACGGCGTGATGCCAATCAAAATACTATTCGATCGTAAAAATTGAGGAGCCGCCTTTTGGTCAAACATTAATTTAGAAGTTAGGAAATTACAACGTGAACGCTTCACTTAGCTGCATTTTACCAGCGATGAAAAATAAAACAGGAGAACGTAAATATTGAATTAGGAGTTAAACTTCAAAAGGCGATCCTAAATCAAATAGAAATCTGACAAAGGTGAAGAGAATTCGAACGATTGGCCCTAGACTTACTATAAAGAGGCCTTGAATTTTGGCTTAGGATACCTTACGCAATCGACGCTAGGTATTATTCATTCGCCTCAGTCGATAACGTGTTCTTCTATATCTGGATCGAGTCGTTAATGCTAGTATTTGAATACGGCACACCCCGAAAACAAATTAGACGGCAATTTTATCGTAAAAATTCTTTATTATTTCTGCACACAACAGCATGTTAAAGATACATTGAACCCTCACTGGGCTGAATTTGCGATCAGATACCAGTTGCTTTGCGGTCAAGATCCAGATAAAGACGTGAAGGTGAGAGTACGTACGTTTATTTGGGCTTGGCGGTTTCACAAACAATCATAAAAGTGTAAATGCATAGACAGGTTATGGGTTCTCATTAAATACCCAGCCATAAACTCTTAACCTTTATTTAATAATAAGAATATTCATATCAGATGAGCCAGACACACGTAAATTAAATATATGGAAACATTCCATGCGAGGTATGCGAATAGTTTGTTATATGATTGGAACGTGTTATCGGCTTTCCTCTTCCTCTAAATAAAAAGATACATGTTCTCTGTAATGTCATAATATAAAATGGTGTCGTTTTTGTACCCATACCCCAAAACACTGCCCTCAAGAATAATCTACTATCTTCTTTTAATTCCAGATGACATTCCTTCGTCCAATATTTAATTAAAAAATATCTCAAAGTTTTCGGCGTTAGAAAATTATAATCAGAATATATTGTCGGGAAGGTTAAGGGTATAGGAAAATTACGAAATACTATTTGACTGTTTCTATGTTCCAAGTCTTTCAATTCATTCCCCAGTTATTTATTTGTTACAATATTGACTTAACAAAATGCCAATGTTTTAGTTTTCGTGTTACGATTACGATCGGACCGGCAATAACGATTTAATCGGGGAAGCATTCATTACTCCTTCACAAATATTACAAACGACATCGCCTCTTTGCTTCGCTCTCTCCAACGTGAAGAAAAAATCAAAGAAGAAAGGGTTCGGAAGAATAACAATAAAGAAAGCAAAAGTACGAATACAATTTCTTTTTATTTTAATCGAATGAAGAAAATTTATTTAACACTTGAATTTCTGTTTGTGTATGATTGTACCCGAAGACGCTTTGCACAAAAGTTGTGTTCTCTCTGGTGCAATGGTTCCGAAACGGTGGAGCGTGAAGCTAATTAAAAATAAAAACATTTGTTACATTTGATCTCGCCCGCCTTATTTGTTTTTAAAACTTTCATTCATTTCTTTATTTGCGTTCCATCCGAGCCATTTCAACGTGTTTTTGAATAAAACATACTTTCGCCTTACTATCTGTTATTTGTAGCTTTTTGTTATAGCTAGTTATTTTTGAGGTGGGGCACGGGTCTTGACAAATTCTAAAAAGAGGCGCGTCTTAAAATGTTTGAGAACCACTGCTTTAGTATATGTTCCAAATGACCTGGGTTCTGCTTTCTGGGTCACCTTGTCTGTCAAATTTAGGTTCAGTAATTTTTGAAACTGAAAAAGCATAAAACATTACAGTAGAACTTAATATCAATTAATCGTAAACAAATGTTGTATTAGTTTCATATGCTATTTGAAGCCATATTATGTACTAGTATTCGCGTGAATATTTGTTTCAAAGCCTTAATTTTGTATAATTGTTATTTTCTATATTTAGATAAAAAGAGATGCATCATTTGTGAGTTATATGCTTGCAGGTTGTCGTCTTCATTTAACGGTAAGTTTATGAGAAAAATAAATTGGTTAGGCATTACCTAATAGGAATCATTCCGACCCATTTGAAAATAGTAGTCTCTCCTATCGTTAGATATCAGCGGAGGTATCCCCGTAGTGTGTGTACCAGGTTAGGGTTAGGCCATAATTTTATTCCGAACAAAATGAGTTACCTCCATAATGGTACAAACACTTCTGGGGCGCATCGGAGGATGCTTATACGGGGCCTTGTTCGAGACGAATAGCGTGAATCAGCGTCATAAAAACAGCTTTAGGCGAGTACCATTTACGTTTATACAACACTTGTCAAACACTCGTTTCAAAAATGTTTGATTTGGTGTTTCACAATATCTTACAAGTAAAATTGTTTGATGATGCCATATTACTTTCGTTTTGTTCTTCAGACGAAATCATAAATTACATTAAACAACACAAAGATGGGAAATTCGATGTCACAAAGCTTCATTCCATACACTTAGGATAGGATAGGATAGGATTTACATATTTATCCCGGGGGAGAGGAAAGCCGATAAGATGGCTTATCCATATGGCGAACCACGGCCTCTCGTCCGGTTACCATTCCGAGTCGGGTATGGGATTAGTTATATTGTTTGTTTTCGGAGGCATGGACTTGGTGGTGGAGGAAGCCGTAACCGACCAGCGGTTACGTGAACCACCCAACGACGGCGAGGAGTCCAGCAATCCTCTCGCACATAACCATCCCTGCATGGGTTCGAACCTGCGAACCCACGCAGAGTAATTAGAGGTGCGGTGGCGAGCGTATTCCTAACGCTTAGCCCGTTGAGCCACACCGCCGCGCCGTGTGTAAATTATGACCCCAACTCTCTAACAGTAACATATGTTTGCTCAAACGTGGTATCTTAAGATTTATTGAAAAATAGTTTCCATAATTTCTCTCTGAGTGAGTGCGGTTGAGTTCTTCCCAGCGCTCTATCAAATGTTTACCAAGAGTTTGTGTGTAATTTTGTTATAATAGCCTAAAGCAATTCGCGGTCTCACTTTATCATAAATGTACCTGATAAAGAGTTTAAATATTTCACGGCAGAATTGACAGAGCTATTTTTTATTTTTTTATCACTATGCTTTAAAGTAAATAGTAGATAGGATGATGTCACAAATTTCCTGTTATTTTATACTTTAACCTTACAGACAAAATCATAAAATTCAAAGATAAATTATGACATCCACCACGCTAACATGATGACATAGGTTTGTGTCGATGTACTATCTCGGGTATATTACATTCATAACAATGCTGTTATGAAAATTAATAATTTTCATCGTCTCCCTATAAGTGACTACTGATTGCAATTCAGTTTTTATCTGTAATGTATCAATGTTTTACCGAAGCTTGGGTACAAATAAATAATTTTTCAAAATATGTGAAGCCAGAAATTATTCCTGGTCGTGCCTCATCGTTGTGCAGCTGCGGAAAAGTTCAAATATTTCACGGTAGAATTGATGCTATTTTTATTATTATGCTGCAAAGTAAGGGTTGCTGTTCCCATACAAATGATGCGTTCAATGATACCACAATTACGTAACGTCAAATATCTTTTTGGTATTTTTGGGTGTAGTCACGATTTTTCGTTTGCGTTCTGCAGAATGCCGAATTAATCAAACGGTGTTTGACAACGGATAGGTAATATCAACTTGATTCACCTCAAATGCGATACCTTTACAATCTATCAAATAGTATAAAGTCACTGTATTTATTAATGACAAAAAATTCGAATATTGAACATTTTCAATGTTTTTTAATTGAATAAAATTAGAAGAGTAATCGATTTCAATTAAAAGGGATAAGATTGTTAAATTCGTAATATACATGAAAAATACAAATTTCCATAGCCAAGACTTATAAATATTGATTAGTTTTGTTATTTCTACATATTTTATTTATTTGAATGTGTGTTGTGTGAATGTGTCGGTATATTTAGCCATTAAAACTTCAACGCCTAAAGTAACGTTACCCACGAGATCAACCGAATTAATTTCCCATTCTTGCCTATATGAGAGACTTTCAGCATATTTTGAGCCACAAGTAGGAGCTGATTTTAGTAGCATTTTCTCTTCCTTTAGTGCGCAATTGATTTCACTGGTTCAAATGGAGATCCGAAGCAGAACGCATCTTTACATTATACCGGAAGTGCAAACCCAAATAAATATGTTCTGTCAATGCGAGCCATCGGACACATTCTCCAAGACTATGGATGGTATGCGAACTTTTTCTATAACCATAATACTTTAGCTTTAGCGATGACTCTCTGGATACGCCCCTGCTATGCATATGTTTGCAGTGTTCGTGATATTTTGCTGCAATTTCAGATATATATTGATAGATGGCTTATGATTTGAAAGTAATAAGCATGCCATAGCACAGTTACAGCTTTCAATTGGAAATTACAAAATCCCAAACTGACGATGCACACGTTTTTTGCATTTACCGCGATAAAATCATTTTACTGCATGATATAAAATGAAAAGTCGCAAGCATACCATATTAGTAACATCGCCTTCTAACAAAACTTTAATTAAATAGTCTTAAAATTAGTATTATACATAACCATATTTGGGAGTTTTAAATGTTTTTTGTTTTATCCAAACATCAAATAGAATAGGTATTAGTTTTCACTGAAAAAATTTTGCATCCAAAAATGCTCAACTTCAACTTTCACCAAGATTAAAAAATAGATGAAAAAGATTTGCAAGATACCACCGCGATTGTTTTTCGTACTGGTGAGAGAGTCGAAAAGATCATTTATGAAATGAAGTTAAATGAACCAATTTTTTTAGATCGACAAATACCTCAGTTAATATTAAATTTATTACGGCAGCCTAAAATTAATAGGAATTCAAAAACTATATATTTGTCCAAAAATACCCAAAATAAATTTACTATTTTTTGTCCAGTGAAAAGCAAATAACCGCCTATGGGTTTGGAGCCAAAATTCCGCCAGAGAACCAGATCTCGCACGATTTCGCTCTCAATTTTAACAACGAGAATCCAATTTGTTCTGGTAAGTTAAGTTGTTTGCATTGTCCAACGCCTGTTTGTCTTCACCAACTCCCATTTTGAAAGCATTGGAATGTTGTTATTGTGCTGACAATAAAATATTTTCCATATTTTATGAGGCCCAGAATTTATTTTAATTTTAAAAAGTCGAAATTAGTAATGAAATTTTATTGGATGACAATAATGTTTATATGGCGAGATAAAAAGTATTGTTATAACAATTGTACAATTCCAACTTGCTTTGTTGGACACAAAAATTACTGTTATTGTTGATATTGTTTTTAGACTAAATTTATATTTTGTTCGGTAGACTCGTAGTATGTGTACCTGGTTAGGGTTAGGCCATAATTTTATTCCGATTTTCCTTATTTTAGTTATATTACGAGTTCGGTGACTGTCTTTGTTAGCCAAGTATATATACCCCCTGCCCATAGGTTTCAGTCCCTTTACACAACTTGATGTAAAGTGGGCGAACAAAATTAGTTATATTCAATTGATACACACACATCTGGAGCGCCTTTTGTTTTGCTAAATTGTTGTTGCTCATGTTGCGGTTATTGTAATTGTAAAAAATAGTTTTTCTCGCAACCAAGCAAATCAAATAAAACATTTTTTCAATCAAAAACAATCAATTAAAATATTTTTGTACTTCAATACGATAAAAGTCACTAGACTTCTATTTCGTTTATCCACTTCTTCCCAATTTTTCCTGTGGGACCCTGCATTTCAACTAAAATTAAGGGAACACTTTTCAAAACATATGGGAACACTTTTATATTACGCTTATATATATCTATATATATGAGCATCATTCTTTTGTTTTAGGAATGGAAGAACTTCTGCAAGCATACAATAAAGCTCTTGAAAATGTAAAGTTATGGGGACCAACTAATTTTTCACCCATAATCAACCGAGTGGCCGATGCGGCTGAAAAACACGAAGGACGATTGGTAAGTGAAGAGTAGTCGAATTCAAAATAAGTAAAGTATAATTTTCTATCGACAATAAATGGGAAATTCATGTTCTGCCACAAAGTTGTTATGAAGATTTACACAAGAGATTTTTCAAACAATTGTTCAATTAGATAGGTATTAAGCAGCAACGCAGAACAGTTTGAGAAAAAAGGGATGGGTGGATTAGTATATTTAATGTTTATTTATTGCTTTTGTAAGAGCAGCCGATATATAATATTGTAAAAATTTGACCAGAATACACAAATGCTTGGACTATTCGACTGACTACTGACCGCCAACCAGATTTTAAAACATTCAAATTTCGTATATCACAGAGAGTAAAGCCAATGAATAAACAGTATTGAATTTCTATTAACGCATGCATTTTATGTTTCGCAATTCAGAGTCGCGATTTCCGTTCATTTCGCATTAGATTTCAGTTGGTTTTGTATGTGCAGTACAATGATTGAAGGATCGTTAGATATTGTAACCAAAATTGAACAGAAATATTTCGGTTTATTAACAATTAAAGAGGCATGCGTCAGTTTTTTGTAAGGTATATTTTATTTTATTCCATTCCAATTCTTACAGGAGTATCAAGTTCTTCTCATCTTGACTGACGGCGTGGTGACAGATATGGATGAAACGAAAAAGGCTCTTGTCCGCGCTTCAAAACTTCCAATTTCAATCGTCATTGTTGGGATTGGAAATGCAGACTTCAGTGATATGGAGTTTATGAGCAAAGGAGCAAAGCATATCAAGACTCAAGAAGGAGAGTGCGCTGCAAGAGATATTACTCAGATTGTCTCATTCCGAAAGTTTAATTTTGTGAGTAGGATTTTCGTCATAAGTATCAAGTGAACTGTATACAAACATTCATCGTGATATTATATATACAAAAACTAGTCACAAACTAACATTTCATTATTGTCCTCATTTTCGCTCTTTTTAAATGCGTTGATAGGAAGAAATAAAACATTTCAGTTGTAGAATGTATGCATATGTCTTACATTAACTTTGTACTGAAAATTACACATCTTTCATTGTTGTATTTCTGGTGAAAATTCGCAAGTTATAAAAAGACTTTTTATCTGAATTTATCTGATAACAATGTATATATAATAATTTTACAAGTGGCAGGAATATTATTTGCGAGATATTTTTTGAAACATGCTAACTGAACCGCACATGAAAATTTCTCAATTTTTTAAATTCTATGCTGGTGTTGGCAGAAATCTAATGTTTCAATTTTAATCTTGAACAGCTTTATCCTCGCTCGTCCGCTCTATAATATTTGTAGAGTTCAAGTAATACAGTATTCTCATCAGGACTTATTTCAAATCATTGGGGTATATATATTATTTACGTATTTTACATTTTTTACAGGAATCGATGGATACACTCGGTCGCAATTTGTTGCAAAAAATCCCATCGCAACTCGCCGAATACTTTGCGTCTAAGAAAATCGATCCAACGTCAGGTCATTCAAGTCCACGACGTGAAAACGGCGAAGTTAAGAAACAACCAGAAATAAACGAAACTCAAACTCCGGTTAAAAAACGACAGGCGCCAAAGGAACCGCCAAAGCAAGAGATTCCAGATCAAGAAACGCCAGAAACCCAACAAAATCACTTGGAGATTGAAAATGGAAAACCTGAGAGTCCAAAAAGAAGTCCTCGCGTTAGCGAGAGCGATGCGAACCAAGATCAGGTTCAGGAACAAGCCGTGAAAGACAATCCAGATGTGGAAATTTCAGCGTTTTAACTGAAAATAAACGAGATTAAATCAAAATTTGGGGGTAGATGTTTCTAAAATAAACGGTTTGAATAAACGGTGTGACCGAAAATGACGGTTTGACAGTTATTATGGTCGATCATTCAATCCTTCGATTAAAAACCACAAACTCTATTTTACTGTTCCTTCACTTTTCTAAATATATTTTGAACACCCATTTTGTTTCCAACCAAGACGCAAACGAACTTGATCATAGTTTAAGACTATCAGATTCAGATTCAGATATTTTTATCTAGCTTTTTCCAAAAGAAACGGTTTAGAGAAAACGACGGTTTTCAAGCTTTCAATACGATGAATTGAAAAAAATAAATATTTCTTTTGACCTTTCTTGTAGCCTACTTTTTTAATTATTTCTGGATACTTTTGAAGACCCATTTTGTTTTAACCATAAGGGTATCTTCTAATCGCTTTTGATCATACTATTCTTCGAAGATCTTTGGTCAAATGGATTGGAAGTCTGTAAATCTGGACCTTATGGGTTATCTCTTTTACAAATAAGTTTATTACATAAATGAATATAAAACGTTGCTTTTCGTATCTTCAAATGTATAACTAAGCCATTAATTTTTCATTGCTTTTGTATAAAATTCCGCCTCCTTCACATATTGTGTATTGCGAAACATAAAATGCATGCGTAAATATAAATTCGATACTGTTCATTCATTGTCGTCTATGATAAACGAATTTTCGAATATTTTGAAATATGGTTGGCGGTCAGCAGTTGTCGACTAGTCGCAAGCATTTTACATGTTCTGGTCAAATATATATATATTACCATAATATATTTCGGCTGCTCGAACGAGAAAAATACAGAAGGATGCAATACAAATAAAATGTTGTCTAGAATGAGATTGGAACACGCGCAAATGCTCGCTCATCTACAAAAACAAAGCAAGCACATAATAGAATGAATATTATTTGAAATCAATATTGAGAAATATCAAAGCCAAAAACACTGAGTAAAGAAAGAGTATTAAATTTGCAAATTTTACAGATTAATGTTTGCACCCAAATGCATGCTTTAATGTTAATCACACAGAAAAACATTATATAATATTTTTGCCGCAGCAGTGCAGCCATTTAACTTTCAACCCGATAAATATTACCGGACCTGAAATGGACCTATGGATCGTTTTGCTATTAAGATGTTTTGGTTCGTAGTTGTCTTCTTTTTACGGTATTTAATCCACCAAGCGTGACGGTAGTTTCCGATTTGATGCGACCCCACGCAAAACTCGGAGAATAATGGATACTCGTAACGGTTGGTACTTTGTTTTGGGTTTTGTGTCCATATATTTGAGCATCGCTTTCTTGTTCCATCTAGTGCAGGGGTCGGGAACCTTTTTGGTCAAGAGTGCCATAAAATATACATATTTTCAATTGCATTTCCGTGCGAGCCATATAACATTTCTTCACTTAATCAGGCCTGAAATGTTCACTCAAAAGTCAACACATACAATGTCAATGTACATTTAATGTGATTTCTGATGCTGCATGTAGTCGCTGCGGGCCTTGAACGGTTGCTCACATGCATTCCATGTTGAAATCTACGATACTCATCACCCTTTTTCGTTTAGGCATCTCCGTAGTGTTTTTAAAACTCTATCGCTTTGTGATGTCACAATATATGTCCCAGAATCCCCTTGTTTGTCACAGTGCCTGTCTGGTAATTATCTTACATAACATAGACAACATGTGCTGGACGCGCGTTCTCAAACGTATTGTGAATTTCCTGCCAAATTTGGCTATAAAAGAGTTTGAAATCTCGTAACAATAGTAAGCTTAGTCTTGGGATATTAGATTTTTCTGAGAGCCCTATGCCGTCACCAAAAGAGCCATATAGAGGACTTGCACGGGTCACGTGACTTTGTTACTGGACGGCAATAAAACAAAAACGTCCATTTGGCTCCTGTCAGTTGCAAGTCGGATTATACGTTGCCGTTTTGTTTGGCTGTTGAAAATGGTTATTTCGTAGTGTTCCGCTGGCTGTACGTATAGTATAGACAACGAAATGGATCTTCAGTTATATTCCACTGTTTTCAAAAGATCCGGAACGTCGCGCAATGTGGATATCATCTATTGGCAGGACTGCTTGGTGTCAAGTCCAGAAGCCATCTTACTTGTGTTTCACTGTTTGCGGACAACATTTCGTTGATGGTAAGTCATAATGTGCCGTTTTCAATTTTTTTGAATATTCATAAGCTCCCTCATTTCAATGGAAAGCAGATAGATGACAAACTACTGTTATTGGTAGGCCTAGGCGTAGGCCTACTTGCAGACTTGACTCGTGTAAGGTATTAATCAATAATTGCCATAAGGTATTGTTTCCCTAGTTAACAGGTAATCTATTAGTAAGTGTGAAAATCTGAATAGAGAACTAAAGTTTAACGCCAGTGCTAATGCAAAAATTAACCAGAATTCAATTGAATTCTTTATCTAAGAATACGCTCACCACCGCATCTCTGATCCCCCTGGGGGTCTCACAGGTTCCAATCCCATGCGGGGATAGTTATGTGCGAGGGGATTGCAGCTCTCCTCCCACTGAGGGTGGTTCTATCGACCGCTGGTCGATTACGACTCATCCCCCACCATCAAGTCCATGCTTCTAAAACAAATAACGATGTTCTTTATTTATCAAATATAATTTATAATTACTGTAAAGTGTGTGATACATTTGGTACCATGAATACCATTTGCAAATCAGCTTGGGTTACACCCCTCTCAAATAAAAGTTTCATATCTCATAATATTCTTTAAACAAAAGGTTGCGGCTATCCGGCTACCCATCAGAATTTCCTTTCAGATCACAAAGTCGCAATATTACGCCTCGGTAAGTTTCATTGGCAACAGTATCTGGTTGTAGTATCGGTGTCCAACGTTAGACTAAAACCTTCACTATCAGACCCACCGAAACAATTTTTTTTTCCTGATAGGGTCGTCTTGAAGTTGCTTTCGTTAAAGCACAATGGACACTTTATCTCCACCAATCCACAGTAATCACAAGTTACTTTGTCATTACGATAAGCATCAATAAATGGATACTGAGGATGTAATATCAAGTCACGCAAGCCAGTTATTTGTTTTCAGAAGCGTGGACTTGGATGGTGGGGAATGGTCGTAACCGATCAGCGGTCATGTGAACCACCCTCGGTGGGAGTAGAACTGTAATCCTCTCGCACATAACTATCCCCGCATGGGATTGAAACCTGTGAAACTACCAGGGTGATCAGAGAGGCGGTGGCGAGCGTATTCCTAGATGGCGAATTCAATTGAATTCTGGTTATTTTTTACATGACCACTCGTGTTAAACTTTAGTTATCTATTCAACCTTTTACACTTAATAATAGATTACCTGCTAATTAGGGAAACAATACCTTATAGCAATTGATTATTAATTGCTTACTGTCTTACACAAGTCAAGTCTGCAACTGCAAGTAGGCCCACGCCTAGGCCTACTAATAGCAGTAGTTTGTCATCTGCTTTCCATTGAAATGAGGGAGCTTGTAAATATTTAAAAAAAATTGATAACGGCACACTATCACCACATTATCACTCACCATCAACGAAGTACTGTCCGCAAACAGTGAAACACAAGTAAGATGGCTTCTGGACTTGACACCAAGCAGTTCTGGCAATAGGCAATAGATGATATCCACATTGCGCGACGTTCCGGATCTTTTGAAATCAGTGGAATATAACTGAAGATCCATTTCGTTGTCTATAGTATACGTACAGCCAACGGAACAATACGAAATAACCATTTTCAACAGCCAAACAAAACGGAAACGTATAATCCGACTTGCAACTGACAGGAGCCAAATGGACGTTTTTGTTTTATTGCCGTCCAGTAACAAAGTCACGTGACCCGTGCAAGTCCTCTATATGGCTCGCGAGCCATGGGTTCCCGACCCCTGATCTAGTGCCTACAGTAGGCCCATTTACACTTCCAAATGGTCTCTAGGGTACCCAAAGTGATATTATTTTCAACAATGCATCTAAAAAGTGTTGGATAATTTTCATGAACTGTTTCTGTCATTACTACTTAGGGTGCACAGAAAATAGCTTAAAATCTTTTAATCAGTGAATAAGTGGATGTTAGTTTCTTTCCCTATTCGTCTCTTCCAGCGATGATGAAGTCGAATGTGGCCATTCTGTATCAGGTTCAACCGTTGAAGTGTGTTTACCTCAGTGGGTCCAACTTGATAAAAATAGCAGTCTGGGTAGATATTTGCAGTTTTAGTTGCGTAATATTCATAGACTCAAAATGTAATCATACTAACAGATTTCAAGCTAAAATCTATTTTGATTAATGTAAAGTGAGAACAATGAGTATATGTCCTAATTGGATAGAACGACAAATTAATACTCCCACCAAACACAAAAAGGCCCTCTTGTGGCAAAAGTCGTGCATAAAACTTAGTACGATACTAAATATTGTGCAGACCGGCAAAAAACGGCGAGGTTGCTTCAGTTCAGAACCCTCGCAAATAGGTTTCAGATTTTTTACACTTCAAGTTTTTTGTCCTATTTGCGCAAATAGATGTAGTAGTATATGAACAGTATTATATGGTTTGTAGCTTTTTCGAATAAATAGACGAGAAGACGCCTGGTGCCGATAAGTATAAACGTAGGACACGTAGTATAGAATTGTTGGAGTGACTGAGTTGTTCAGATTTTTTTTCAAGTTTGCGCTAACGTAGTAAAGGCTCATGAATACATAGATGGGTTAGTTTAATTCAGTGCACACATGAAAGTAAGATGTAAGAGCCTAAAATGAGGAATATCTGACAAATATTTTCCTATTCTACTAAGAGTTTCATTAAGTCTGTAGTAGAGACAGCTGAGAGGAACTGTTCTCGATTTTCCCAGCTCTGAGTTACTCCCTATACCTACCTACTCAGTGGTTTTATAAGGTAGTGTTTTTCCAGATTTACCAAATCACTGATTTTCACTTAATACAGATATTGACTACATATACAATTATCGCATGAGACAGTGGCTCTGTCACTGCTGTATCATTGTATGTATATGGTTGCATGAACCATGCTTCACTCAGTGTCATCTGACATCAACCAAGAAATAAACAAATACAAGGAATATGTGTCTCTGCTCAATGATCCACTGGCTCGTAAGTAAAATTTTGATTTTCAACAACACATTTTCTGCTACAAGAATGTTTCTACTTCAGACTGTCAGACTGTAATTCGAGAATTCGGCGGTGTTGCGCATCATGCTAAGACCCTCCATCTTTCCGTGGTTTGCAGGTCGAATCCAGTGGGGGTTAATTATATTCGAGAAGATTTCTGGACACCTCGCTGCCGTATAGGTTGTTCTAATAATCGCTGGGCGGTGAGGGGTCCTCCGCCGTCAAGTCTATCCACTGGCTATCTAATCCCATACCCAACGTGGACTGGCAGCAGGATGAGATTTCATGGTTTTCCATGTGATTAAGCCATCTTATCGACTTTCCTCTACTTTTGGGATAAATATGTGAATCCTAATCTATAAGAATTGGAGATGGTCCTATTACTGTTTTTATGAATGTTGTTTTGAATTTTTAGTTTTGGTGTATTTTTATATTTTGTGTTTTTATATGCTGTTTTCATTTCTACAGAGGATGAAAATAAGTTGAAAGTTGCTCAAGAAGTGAGCGAACATTTCGAGGTTTGTACATTTTTTATTGCTATGCAGTTATTGATCGAACTTTGGATGTTTTTTTACTCTGCTCTTATACTTACTTAAATGATAATAATATGTAATTCAGATTTTTGTTCATTCCTTTTCAAACTTGAAATCAGATAAATGCTTTCTGTTTTACTGTAATTGCTGAAATATTCCACTTAATATTACCACCATATTTATGCTTTTTCATCATTTATTCGTTATTCATTATTTATTATTAATTATCAATAATTATTTTTCAGGACATTGCACATTCTCCTCAATATCAAGTGTTTCTAAATCATTGTGTTCCAAGATTTGTCAAATTATTGCAAGATGGAGAACCAAGCTTTGTACTGGAAAATCATGGCCAGGTTAGAAAACTATCATGTTAAAATAATCATTTGGAAACAGAAATTGACCTTGTATTTATATAAAGTCAAAGGTTAGATTTTCACACTTATTACAGTTCTGGACAACAGTCCCTGATATCTCTTTTATTTCGTAATAACCTGGAAATCTTTACTGTTCTACGTTGCCTTCAGTTCAACACAGGTGAGGTTGGGAGCTGTAATTAACTATTTTTTTAATCTCCGACCCCAACGAAGTTGAGTCTTCGCTTAAATTTTTTGGATCTAATTAGTTAAAAATCTTACACCTAGTATACATATAACAGCCCCAAAATGTTTCTAAGACATTTTCGAAATATTATACATGAAACAACTTGCTTTTCAAACCTATTTCTAGGATTTCAATCTTAACCCTTCCTCCATTTGATAATTATCAAATTGCGAACCTATTTTTATCGGCCTATTATTATTACAATGGATATTTTATTTAACGTCCTTTATTTACAGCAACTTCGCAAACTTGTTCTTGACATTCTACATCGGATTCCAACTAACGATTATTTGAAACCTCATGTTAAAATGATCCTCAATTTATGCTTCCAGCTACTTGAGGTAATGTACAAGTAATTTATACTTACCGGTAACTTAAGTAATTTGACTTAATTTGACTAAAAATCAAATATTATATTTTTGTCACTGAATTAACAGTAGGAAAACTGAAAAAGTATTAATATAGCTTTCATTTTTCTGTAAAATGTAAGGCGCTACAGAAGTATATGTACCAATATGGATGGTAACTAATTTTGTTCGCCTACTTTACATCAAGTTGTGTAAAGGGACTGAACCTTTTGGCAGGGAGAAACTCACTTAGCTAACACAGACAGGTCCTGAACTTGTAATAGAACTAAAATAAGGAAAATCGGAAAAAAATTATGGCCTGACCCTAACCTGATACACACACTACGGGAGTACCCATTGTAATGCTTTGTGTGTTTGCTTATAAAAAGATTGAAAAGATGTCGTACATTAAAATAATTGTTTCTTATACGATACTTATTCACATATTTTGCTTGGAACAAGGCCATGTATAATCAGCCACTGATATTCAATTTTCAGCCATATTGAGAATTTAAATATTAAAAATTGTCTTTTGCAATCCAGGTTGACAATGAAGAAAATGTTCAAGTTTGTTTAAAAATATTGATCGAGCTTCATAAACAATTCAGACCACAAATGGCACCAGAGGTAAAAGTTTTTGCTGTATTTTGATATTTCGCTAATTTTCATTTTACCAATCCTAATACTCTTTTGTTAGTCTCGTCCATTTTCAAGATATGTGTGATTTTGGGAATACTGGCCAAAGTTTTTGGGGTTATTTTGTACAAGTTGCATTTAAACACTCAACAAGACTCTACTCAAGTAATCGCTAATGGACGAACTTTACGAAAGGGGTCTAATTTTTTGTTTCTGCACAACCTACCCAATGTTCTGACAACCCAAGCTGTAATGATAGACATGGAATTTGAACCTGATGTCTCTAATTGCAATAATAACATAATCAAGTGTATTAAATCAACATGCCTGCTATAATATATCCACTTCTAATTCTAAGCTGACTGTGGGATGAAAAGTAGTCTTGACTGTCTTAAGTTTGTGCATTTGTTATATAGATATTGTGTTTGCTTGTTTGGAACTTTGGATTAGGCATGGATATAAATTGTTTGTTAATTTTTATTATATTGTTTCAGATCCAACATTTTCTTGCTCTTGTGAAGAGAATCTATTCAGAACTTCCAAGAAATATGGTAAAGTATTGAATATAAAGTTGAGGGATATACATGAATAGGGATATACATGAAAGGCACTTTTAATTGGGCGTAGATATGTGATAGGAATTTCTGTGACCTTTTTTTGAATACATGTTTTTCACCATAAATCTCAGATCCTACAAGAAGATTGCTGAATATTATTTTGCAATACATTGCTTTCATTACACCTTTCACTCTTAAACAAGGCTATGTACTAGAAGCCACTGATATCAATTAATCTGTAAAGAGCTTCCATTTTTGATATGATCAGAATCTTTTCAGCATTGCCCAATTTATTACATCCTGGATGAGGTCGTGTACTTGGGATTTGAATCCGAGTGTGTAACTTGCGATATCAATACAGATAAATCTAACGGCTTTGAACCACCAGGTAATTACGCCTACAATTTTTAATTCTTCTATATCTTTTAGTCATGGCTATTTGAGAATCCAACAATATCAGATGGAAGTATGCCTGATCCAACGCGTATTGGAACTATTACTCCGATACAATATAGAGAAAGAGGAAACATGTCTGCGGCTGGAGTCACTACTGTCAATGTGATAATACAATATTTCATAATAAATAAAATGTTTAAAATTGAATTAAGTTGTTTTAAAAACAAATTTTATTCAGGGATATACATTTCTAGAATATTGTGCATATAATATAGTTAAGTTGTTATAAGGACTTTAAGATATGCTCTTTCTGCTATCCAAGTTCACATATTTAGATACTCCCATACTAACAGTGGACTTGTTGAGAAATTGTTGTCTGCTGTGAAATTCTATTTTATCCGATAACATAACAGATGTGCTTTTGTCAGAAATGATATTACTGAAACTAAAAACGTTTATCTGACCAACCATCAATGCTATAGCTGGTATTCTTTGGCCACTTGGACTGCCAGTGGTATCGTTGGAGATTCAACTTTCTTTTTTGTATTTTGTTTCCAGAGAACTTATGTTCCAAAAGCTTTGAATTCAATGAAAGTTTTGCAGGAAATACCAATCACAGTTGTTTTAATGTATCAGGTTGGACTTTTTTCAATCTTTTGTTTCAAGTTTTTGGTTAATTTAAATGAATGCGATTTGAACTAAATAATTCTATAAACCATTTTTTTGATTTGAAAGTTTTGTACTGGTTTAACTAATTGAAGACAAACAATTCCATATTGAAAATTTTGGTCTTCATGTAGAGCAGTTCACATTTTATTCACAGAGTTATTGTTAATTTATAAACTTTTCTGTGATATAAGGAACTTTTATCTGCATTATTTTGTTTTTACCTTTTTCATCTGTTATTGAAGAATTTTAAGAATTTTAGATATCAAGTAATAGCATTGCAGCCAACCATCTACATAAAATTTCATCTATTTTTTCAATCATAAAAAGTTATGTGGTTTTATTTTCAGTTGTACAAAGCTGCAACACAAAGTGTAGTTGCGGAATTTATACCTTTGATTATGTCAACATTGTTGCTGCAACCTTCACAACAAGCTCGAGCTTCTCCTAATTTCAACAAAGAACTTTTTGTTGATTTCACAGCTGCTCAAGTCAAGACTTTGTCGTTCATCGCATTCTTTGTTCGACCTTACCATGTCAGTTACATTCAATTTTTTTCACCAAATAAAATTCACAATTTGGTTTGAAAAATTTTTTTTTATTTGTATTCTATATGCATTTATATGCCCCCTCCAAAACAAGGGTCATTTGGAATTTATTTTAAAGAGAACATAACTTTTGTGCGTCCTAAATTGCTAAAAACTTTTGGGTAATACACATACACAAACGTGTTCAAGTGTTAAATAAATTTTTCATTTTTGGAGAATTAATCATGTAATTTATGGGTTCTTTCTATTTGAATCACTCTGTGTAAATGTAGAATTTATGCCAATAGATGCTCACATCTATCAATAGTTTAAAAATCCTCAAATTTTATTTTAAAATTGTTATATATGGTATTTATCATATATTAAAAGCATGATACATATGACTTTTTCAAATATAATTTTGGATATGCTATTCATTAGCCTACATACTGAGGATTATCTTCACCCATTGAAATGAAACGAAACTATTGTATCATTTATTTATTATATTCAACTGTATTCATGAGGATTTCACTCTAAACTGGAATATCTCTGTTTTAGTATTTAGCCTGCCTAATTCATCACATTTCGGTGAAATGCTTGACAGAGTGTTTTGACATTTTAGGTAGATAGATTGAATCTATTATACAATCATTCTTCTTTCTTCATTTTGTTCTTCATTCCAGGAAAGCATCATTCAATATTCAAATGAAATGGTGACAGCAATGCTTCAATTACTAACAAATTGTCCACCTGAAGTTGCTTCTCTCAGAAAAGAACTGCTTATCGCTGTTCGCCATATTCTGGCAACTGATCTTCGTACAAGTATGAGATTTTTATTTTTATGAGATTTTCAAGAAGTAACTTTTTTATTGAGTGTGACTTCAGAGACAAATTCTGACTTGTTGGATACCCTAGAAAGGAGAAAGTCTAATTGGAATTTTGAATTTACCCAGGTCAAAATTGATAGTTGAAAATCTAGACTAGGGAGTGTCCATTATTGGTTTTATAAAATTTAATTCATTTCATTTTGGAATATTATAAACATTTTGTATATACACATATTTTGTAACAAAATTGTGACCTAAATCATTGATTTCATTGTGAATTTCACATAATAAACAGTAAGTTCATCCTAATATTTGAATTCCGAAATATCCTTCCAAATCGCATCAATCTGAATTTCCTTCAAAGTAAAATCGTACAGAAGTCGAAAGTTTTCGTCTTAAACTAAAGTCTTTCAAACCTCAAAAGTTTCTCTTCTTCTTGTACCAAACGAGCAGCTGTTTGACCTGCTGTAACTTGTCAGCAGATTTTAGAGACATCGGTTTATTTATTTTTTTTACTTCAATTAGTTATATCACTTGAGTAAAATGTATTGTCTTTATATTAGAATTTGTACCTCGAATGGATTCCCTTCTTGATGAAGAAATTCTGGTCAGCAGTGGTTGGTCTGCTTGTGAAACATTGCGACCTCTTGCATACAGTACATTAGCTGATCTAGCTCACCATGTTCGCGCTCAACTCTCATTGTCTCAGGTAAGCAGTTTTACCAGCATTAAAATCATTTATCTCATTCGACACGATCTCTGATTTTTTTGCCATATTGTCGAGTCCTAGCACATTAATCATGCTAAACATTAGGAAGACGTTTATCTCACTAGTGATTACCTGAGATGGTTTTTAGGTTCAATTCGCATGTTGGTTATTATGTGCGAAAGGATAGCTTGATTTCTTGCTTTCTTACATTATACAACTGACTGATTACTGGTAGCGATTCCTGTCGCTGACCTAAACTGGTATCCAAGTGAGATGCCATGATTTGCGGTATGATTTTCGATCTTATCATCTTCTCTCTCTCTGGGAAAAATATGAAAATTCTTATGGTATACTCCGTATGACATCTCATATAAATGATATTGGGATAATTTCCAATACCATAATAACACAGTATCTTACATTTGTTTTAATATTCCCATATCTGTACATGAAAATATACCATGTTTTGCTATATGTTGAAGCTGTCTTGTAGAAATGAGTATTAGAATCCTATTCTTTTCTCCGGCAAATTGATACACTTTCTATATCAAAAATTTGAATTTCTTTAGATATGGTTTAATAAATTATTCTACTACCTTTTCAGCTTGCTTCTGCAGTTCACCTGTTTTCGAAAAATGTTCACGATGATTCTCTTCCATGCTCAATTCAAACAATGTCTTGCAAATTACTTCTGAATTTAGTTGAAGGTATAACAAAGAAAAGCGAGGTAGAAAAAAGCTCGGTAAATATCATTTTTTATTGGATTCTATTGAATTTTATTTACTCAACTTTTATGTGAGTTTTCTTCACTTTTGAGTGCGTTATTGTAATTTTGCTATGAATTTATTTATAAAAGAGAGAGAGAATTTATTTTTTTGTCATACAAGAAAACACATAATAATATATATATAATAATTGAATAATTAAATCAAAATTTATGGTAGATGTTGGGTGGTAATGATACGGCCATCCACAGCCATCTGAGTCAGTTACCACCTAATACAAACACATGAATAATCAAATGAAAAAATGACACAGGTTTTGTTCTATTACACTCTCATGATATAAAAAGCTATACTATGTACAAAAACGTTATCTGATTAGAAAGAAAAAAAGAGAAAAGGTGTCTCGCGAGAAACATATTTGTTCATGAGCTGTTGTCACTTCAAACAAGGCTCTGTCTAGCAGCCACTGATCTGTGAGAAATTATTTCATGAGGAACCAGAATCCTTGTCAGTGTGCCATTGGCTGACAAATCTGTTACACTTCTGGTGAGGTGGAGAAGTTTTGAACCAAAATTCTATGACCTCCAACCCCAGCATAGTTTGGCCCAATGCTCTCAACAACTACTCAAACCTGTCTACTTGAATGTGCAAACTATTTTGAGTGTTTTTTTCACTTTTATTAAGAAAGGTGAATTTTTATTTTCAGCAAGGGCGAGAGATCCTCATGAGAATGTTAGAAGTTTTTGTTTTGAAATTTCACACAATAACAAAGTATCAACTACCAGCTATACTCGCCAAATGTAAGCCGCAGAGTGAAGCAACTGGACAAACTGACAATAGTAGTAATAGCAATGCAACTGGAAGTAATAATAGTAATTCTGGCAACACTGGATCTAACTCAAGTTCAATCCAAAGTACTTCAGTAAGTTGTATTTTTAATGTTGCCAGGTTCTAATTCACATTCATCATTGCCAGATTCAACTACATTGCCAGATTTGGATTGAATTTGATATGAAAGTCATATTTAATGGAATATAAGAAAAATGCAATTTATAGAGTTTACTTTATCTACCGTATTTGCTCGTTTTGTAGCCCAGGTCCATATTCTTTCAACCAACTCACTAACCGGGCCTTTATTCAAGCACGGGCGCTTGTTATTTTCGAACGTTACAATACTTTATATATTGTTATTTCCAGTTCTCAAGTATGATTTAAACGAGAATAACGAAAATTTTGCCTTTTTCTACGCACCGCAGGTACAAATCCGCAAAAAAAGAAAAGTTTTGCGACGCTCTATCAATATTGAAACGACGCACTTGCGACGCCCAGTTTGAGAACCATGGTGTTTCGTAATCAATGCTATCTGTTATGTACTTGGACGCCTAAGGCGTGAGTGTTATCTACCGGCGCTTAAAATTCAACAGTGTTGTGACAAAAACGCTTCTTATTTCCTATTGTTCTCTACCACTGAAAAATCAGTTTTTACATCGGGCGGGTATCCAAGCACCGGCCCTTATTTATTTTTATGTTCTGTTCACACGGGCGGCTATTCAAACGGGCCCTTAATCAAGATCGGGCGGTAAAACGAGCATATACAGTATTTTTTTTTTCAATTTTTGACTTTGGCATCAGTGACCTATTATTGATTTTATATGGAATAAGTTAGAAACTTATAATATGATAACATAATTGATAGATGGTTTATTTTGAATACACAATACAAACACAGATGTTGGAATTTCAGAAAAGTTGCCAAAACCTTTAATTAGGTTTAAACAAAACAAAATGCCCCCTCTCACCTTGTGACATGAAGAAGTGAAGAACAATTTTGATGAGATATAATATACTATGCAATTGTCATCCTATATTTTGTCATGGCCAGATCAAAGTTTTCCAATTTCTTCTGATAGAAAGTTAATGACAGGTTTCAATGTAATAATATTCTGCGATATTGATGTATTTTGCATGTTATGAGAAAATGCTCTTTGCTGTTAATTGCTGATCAGCACAGAAATTCTCGTTCACATAATCGTTGGTTCAAGATAAAGATACAGGAATTTTTTAACTGAAAAATATCTTTCACCATGTGGCAGGTGCATTTGAAATCCAGTGCCCTGGCTGCAAACATGTCCAATTATATAAAAGAATTACTTATCATTGAGTTTTATTTTGAAATGCTTCTTTCTGTTTTAATATTATTTGTAGGCATCAACTCCAACTTCCGCTCCTACAACTCCTGGTCCATCAACACAGCAACAACATGGATCATTGCCTTCTTCCAAGTCAACAGACACCGACAATTCAAAACAAGGTAGTGGGGCATTCAAATTCATTATGGTATACTTTAAAAAGCAAAAAAATTTGAATTTTATGTTTTTCACATTCATATATTTAAATATTTTTTTCAATTGAGACATGCCCCAGTGCTTCTATTATGGAGTAGACATATCAAGCATTGTTTCTTGATTGTGTAATACAAATTACGCTATATATTGGAATGCAGAAAAATTCGAATTATGTTTTTCACATTTTCTCCATATACTTTAAAAATTTGGACAAAAATTAAATAGTACATGCTTTTTCGTTCACCTCAGACTCAGAGCATTGTGACGAGCATTGTTTCCTGTTATATAAGTGATATGAGTTACGAAAGTTATTAGACTTTAAGATATTTATTAAGAACGTACTGAATTTGAGTAGGCTACTGCATATCAGTTTTTAATTATTTCTAATTTTTTTTTAAATATAAAAGGAAATTTGTAATTCATTTTTATTATTTTAAATGGGTTTACAGTAACATCAATTTTATTGTCAATTTTTTTGAAAACACAATAGAATAGCTGATTTTCTGATTTTTCAGGTATTTAAATTATGTTGACAATTAAATGATGAATAGTGATTGACCCATTTCATGCTGTGAACTTTAATCCGCGATGAATATTTTAAATTGATCGCCTAACTTCTGAAGAATGCTATTTTAAGACCTATTTTAATATAATATTTCAGATGATGGCAAAGGATCAAGTACAATATCAGTGTCTGATTGTAGAAGTCTGGTTAAAACTCTTGTTTGTGGAGTGAAAACAATAACATGGGGAGCAGGATCTTGTAAAAGTCAATTCAATGAACAACAATCGAGCACAAATCAACAATTTTTACCGCAAGAAACCGTTCTTTTCACAAAACTTGTTCGATATGCTCTTCAGGCTTTGGATATATACCAGGTACAGTAACAAACAAAGAATTTTCATTTTTAATTTCTTTAGTTTAGAGGTGCACAACCTGCAGATGCATGGTTGAATGTGGCCATTGAAAATAAAATTTGCGGCTGTAATCCTTATTATAAGGCAGGCAGCTATAGAAAAAGGGTTGAAAAAAAAAACTCTTGCTATGATCTCCATACCTATATTTGATATGAATTTTTTCAAAGCCTAAAAAAACTAAGAGTTTACGACTAAAAGTATAACACCAAATGGAGAATTACAAGCAAACATGTTAAAATTGCTCTTTTCAACATAGGTAATTTGATCTTTTAATATCAGGCATCTATTAGGCATCATGTCATAACACACTCAGAGATCAATCAACTCAACTTTGTTTGCATTTTTCAAATGATTAAAACTTTGGAAAAATTCTCAACTCCTTCTTAATCTTAATTTAATTGAAAAATTTCATTTTCCGATATCAATAACTTGGAGTTTTGATAAAAATTGATTATTTTGTAGTTCTAAATCAGTGGCAAACCTTATGTACTTGCCGGCCAAATATACACATTTCCGGTAGCGTGCGGGTCGCATTATTTTCGCCTATGAACGATCGCCACAATAAACTCCAAAATATGGCGCACTTTCTTTCACTTTCTATTGCTGTGTTGAAGCCTGTCGCAATGAAAACGTGTATGCGGCCTTATCATTTAATTTTGGAAGAATTATTTTATTACAATTATATTTTGTATAACTTCTTCTTACCATTATTTTTATAATATTATTATTCAATTTTACAAATTTAAAATATTACAATGCATCACAATTACAGATTAATGTGGGTGCAAATGGACAAGCGTATGTTCGGGCATCAAATTGTCCGACGGTTCGAATGAAGGAAGAAAAAGAAGTATTGGAACATTTTGCAGGTGTTTTTACAATTCTCAGTCCTTCAACATTCAAAGAAATTTTCAGCACAACGATAACTTACATGGTGGATAGGATTTACAAAAACTACGCTTTACAGGTTTGGTGGAACTCATTGTGTTTTTGTTTCTGTAAAGAAACCTCATTCTTTCATAATATGAACTAAGATAATCTAGTGGTAGAAAGTTAACATGACAAATATCTTGTCTCACCATGTAGGATTCAATGCACAATAAGCAAATCTAAATCGGGAAGATTTTGATCACAAAGAACTAGTGCTTACAGTTTTTCTACAGTAATTAAATTTTGAATTGAGAAATCATCAACTTGATCAGAAATCAAAATTAATCAAAATGCAAAGTTTATAATATGATATGTTCAGTAAGATCCTTTTGATCTTTGATCTTTATTCTGTTTTATTACATATTTCTTGTTGTATGACCACATCCACAATGGAGGCGATGGTACAAAAAATCGCTTCTTGTTTCAGTATAATAAACAACCTCTTGTTTTTATAGATTGTTGCAAACTCGTTTCTTGCTAGCCCGCATACTTCACCTACATTTGCCACCATACTAGTCGAGTATTTATTAGAAAGGTTGAAAGACATGGGGGAACCAGGAGAAAAATCAAATCTATACTTGAAGCTTTTCAAGGTTTATTAAATTTTAATTCTTTATAGTCTTAGTAGTGCTTTTCACTTTCACTCTGTAATTTTGCTCAGAGATCAACCTCTATTCAGGGATGGCCAATACCGAATAGTTCACTATTTCGAATACATTCGAAATTATTATTTTCGAATATGAAATTTCGAATACTTCGAAAATAAAATCCAGTAATAGAATCTAAGTATATGAAGGAATTTTCATACAATAAACAATGGAATAACTTCTATCTACAACCTGGCTATATTACCAGGCATTTCATGTTTGCAGATTATTGCGATATATATTTTATATAACATGAGTTGTGTTAATTAACAGAATTAAAATAATACGACAAGGCATTTTAAATAGTGGTATCGGTGATGGATTTGAATGCTTGCGCAACACAAAATCATCCTAGTAAAACGCCCATACTTTTAAATACCAACCATTATCCAAATTATTTGTCAAAAAGCGGGATAAAGTATGAGTTCTTTTTCAGACTTGTGACAATTTTTTCGTGAGTACAAAAATACGAACTTTATACGAATACGAAATACTTTACCACACATTTTAAGTCCGCAGATCGCCGTTGTATGTTTGTGTAATAATACTTTTATTATTTTATAAATACGAAAATAGGGTTCAAAAACTATTTATAATCGGGTAGTTTACCACACATTCAATGTCCACAGATCACCGTTGTATTTTGTAAATACGAAAATAGGAATCAAAAATTAATATCAATCGCGAGTTTGCCTCACAATTTATGTCCACAGAATGCCGTGATATTGTGCCCGAATATAATTAATTTTTGATTCTTATTTTCGTACTCGAAAAAATTGTCACAAGTCGGAAAAATAATTTATACTTTATTACACATTCAAGTCCACAAATCGCCGTTGTATTTTTGAGTTATAATAGTTTTAATATTTTGTAAATACGAATCCGAAATTAATTATAATTGGGCAGTTTACCACACATTTCATGCCCACAAATACCCGTGGTATTTGGTATTAATACTTTCATTATCGATACTTTTGACCATCATTATCAAAATTATTTGCCAGAAAGCGGGTGAAAGTATTTTTCTAATAAATCAACTTGTTTCCCAACTTGTGACAATTTATTGGATATCGTAACAATTACGGCTATAAATACCGTATTTCCCGGCTAATAAGTCTACATGGCAAATAGGACGATGTATATTTTTAGCACTCAAAAAAGGGGGTTTTCCATATAGGCCTCCAAGAAGACGGGTAGAAAAATTGTTCCCTGTTGTTCAGTTATGCTAATATGCGCTAATAATAATGTTTAGAACCAGATCACGTTTGTTTAGTAGAATCATACTCACAGAATTAACTATTTTTAACAATAAAGCGGTAATTTTAAGTTAAAAATCACAATCATTTTGAACAATCTATAATTTTATAGGGTCAGAACAGAACCAGATCATGTTTGTTTGGTAGAACCATACTCACGGAATTAACTATTCTCAACAACGAAGCGGTAAATTTAAATTATAAAGCGGCAATCATTTTGGACAACCTATCAACCCGAATGTTGAAATAATTTTGGAATGTGATAAGTACCACACGGTACGTCCACGGGTTATTTCACAGCTGTGTTTCATGTCCCTGTCGTTTTCTGCTGAATCGGCAAAACCAAAGGGTCATAAATCACTTACTTTATCTCGGTGGCGGTGGCCGTGTTTTCTCTTTTAAGTAACGATAACCGGCCTACGATTAAATATCATGATTGGCAGACCCATAAGAACCAAATATAAGGTTAACACAAATTATGCTTGAGAAGACTAATGCGAAAAATAAGCAGGCCACATAGAAATAAAATTAAACATTGCTTTCTCAATAAGGCGCCCCTCCTCCAAAAAATCAAGCCAAAATTGGGTCAAGAAAAGCGACTTATTAGCCGGGAAATACGGAGATTGTCGATTTTCGACTAATGGAAATGATTTTGTGAATTGAAAGACGAATGTCGGCAATGTCCACCAACGCAAACGTGCAAATGTGTCGCAACACTATGCAACGTACATTCGCGCTGAATATAAACAATCAAAATGCCGACTCTATTTCATCGTCTTTACAATACGTGAGAAAGCGTAAAAAGTCGTTTGAAGATTCCGGTAAAACGAAACACCGTGTTTACGGCGAAAAGTGACTACTATTCGTAATTATTCGGAAATGAGCCGAAAAGGTATTCGAATACCTTGATATTCGAATAATTTCGAATATTCGATTCGTTTTGGACAACCCTGCGCTCTATTATTTTTTTATTTGTGTGTGCCCTTCCCTTGGGCAAATTTATTTAAAAAAAATTCTGATATTTTATGCTTCCGAAACCACTTTTCTGGGTATGGTGTAATTATGTTGCCAAATGTGATTCATTCATAATATTAAAAAATTTGACTATATGATTCAAATACAGTAAAATAGATTCAAACTCGACAAATTACATGGGGTAGTCATCAGTGCAATTGGAAGTGTACTCGTAGCACTCAATATGATGAACCAACTGATGGACTATGATTAAAACCGATAACAAGTAGATGTATGATCGATAATCAAATTTTTTTGAAAATAACACATTTTATACTACTTAGCTTGTCTTTGGATCTGTGTCATTATTTGCAAATGAGAATGAACAAATGTTGAAACCACATCTACACACAATCGTTACTCGATCAATGGAACTTGCTAATACGGCTCATGATCCATTCAACTATTTCTTATTATTGAGAGCTTTGTTTCGTTCCATTGGTGGCGGAAGTCATGATAGCTTGTATCAAGAATTCTTACCACTTTTGCCAAATCTTTTGCAAGGTATTTTATTCAATTCTTATCTTTGCATTTCACTACTCCAGTTTTTTAGACGCTCCAGGAGTGTGTGTACCAATATGGAGGGAAATAATTTTGTTCCCTTATTTACATCAAGTTGTGTAAAGAGACTGAAAGCTATGGGCAGGGGTATATTTACTTGACTAAAACAAACAGTCCCCGAACTCGTAATAGAACTAAAAAAAGAAAAACCAGGATAAAATTATGGCCTAACCCTAACCAGGTACACATACTACGGGGGTACCGTTTTTGAGTATAGTTCAAATATGTCTTTGTTCAAGTTTTCATCAGCAGTTTGCTATGGATTCCAGATTGGTATCTGAGAAAAAATTTCAAACTTATAGATGATTGAAATATTGTTATTTCAAAATTACAATAAATAAAATTGCTATTTTCTGGCAATTTTAAATACCAATACTATGATTTGGTCAAATTTTATTAACATACTAAATTTATATTATAATTTTCCTACTGGCATATAAATAGCTTACTAGGGTAATAATGCCTTACTTGACATAAAATAGCCAAGACATGCACAAAAGATTGTTCGATGACATTTTGAAAATTTCCAAGTTTCCAATTTTCATTATCACTGAGTAAACTTTTGTTCAATATTTTTAGTTTTGTTCCACTTCTCAATTCATAATTCTTTAGTTGTTAAGCAATTCAGAAATATTCCTAATAATATTAAATGTAGTCCTCTGTAAACTATGTGATATGTAAAATTAAATATATAGTGTTGAAGGACATTAGAATTTTACTGTTTTTTTTTCCAAAAAGGTCTAAACAGCCTCCAGAGTGGACTTCACAAACAGCACATGAAGGATTTATTTGTGGAACTATGTCTAACTGTTCCTGTACGACTCAGTTCTTTGCTTCCATATCTTCCAATGTTGATGGATCCGTTGGTTTCTGCGCTCAATGGTTCACAAACTTTAATAACTCAAGGTCTCAGAACGTTGGAACTGTGTGTGGATAATTTGCAGCCTGATTTCTTATATGATCATATTCAGGTAATTTATCAGTATTTAATGTAGAAGGTTTGAGAATCTGATTTTTCTGTTTATTAATTGTTGATAATAATGCAAAAATTGTATATTTACAATACACCCATACTTGGATATACCACTGATAATCTTTGCGCGGTTACTTGTCTGGTAATTTTCACACATGTAAAAGTGGAAACCCAATAAGATGGCATTTTAATATAGAGAAACATTGCTTCTCGTTCGATTAGCAATTGATGTTGGGTATAGCATCAGTTAGCCATGTGTTTCAGATGTATGTACGGGAAGGTGGCGAAAGCCTCATTACTTACCCAAAATATTCATGATAAAATCAATGAAATATTGAAATTAAAAAATAATTTGTATTTTTTGTAAAATTTTTATTTTTTTTTTTCAATTTTAGCCTGTAAGAGCAGAACTGATGCAAGCGCTCTGGAGAACATTGCGAAATCCATCTGATGGAATTGCTCATGTTGCTTTTCGAGTTCTTGGCAAATTTGGTGGATCGAACCGAAAGATGCTCAAAGAAGCTCAACGACTTGAGTATAATGACTCAGATTCACTTGGTCCTTGCATCAGAGTGGATTTTCTTGATTGCAAGACTCCAGTTTACTTGCCGGTATTGTTTTTAATTTTTTTCCAAATGTAGGAATAATATTTTAATATTTTTCAAACCGCTCAAAATAGGTAATAAAACCACCCTATAAAAATCAGTATTCTGGTTAATTTCTTTTCAATATTTTCTCATTATCACTTATTTTTGTCAAAGGTGCAACAAATTGTTGAGAGTGCCTTGAAATGCTTGAAAAGTTTGGGAACAGATACATATTATAGGAGACAATCATTCGAAGTTATAAAATGTTATTTGGTAAGTTTAAACAAATCTATTTTTATTTATTATGTGTCAGGAAGCGGCCATGTGGATTGATTTGCTAATTCATTCAGAAAAATAGTTGTTCACTTGACTGTTGCTTACTTACACAAGCCTTACTTTGCGCATTTTTAGTCAATATGGTTTGCATATTCTCATACCTTTGCAAAGATGAATATAAAAACACAAATTTTTTTTTTATTTGTAACAGATTTGCATGATGAACAATGACGTTGGACAAATTGATTTCTCTCACTTGATTCAACATTCCACATTTACAACTGGAAAGTTTCCTCATGTTCCTGTGTCAAGTCTACCAAAATGTCAAGATACTGTTACCAGAAATACTTTCAAACAATCTTTAACTGCTGCGATCAGTGAGTAATCATTACAAATTTGGGCGCTCCAGTAGGATGTGTACCAATATGGAGGTTAATAATTATTTTCGCCTACTTCACATCAGGTTGTGTAAACGGACTGAAACCTATGGGCAGGGGGCATATTCACTTTGCTGACACAGACAGTCCCCGAACTCGTAATAGAAGTAAGATAAGTAAAATCTGAATAAATTATGGCCTAACCCTAACCTGGTACACATACTACAGGAGTACCGAAGTTTGTTTCATCTGTTGAATATTTCTTTGTTTTAGTTTGAACCATTTATAGTGTCTATTGAAGATATACCAATGTCATTATTTCGATGTATTTCGATGGCATTTTGTACAAAACGACCAATTTAATAAAAAAAAACTCAATTTTGTTCACCCTGGGTTAGTTAGTGGGCTTTGCCCAAATACTGAATTGACAAGGGTTCTGAAAATACTTGACTTGTGAGGCCAAAAAACTAACTAGCAATACCCAGATATCATTCTATTATGATATAATAGATCAGGGGTGGGCACACCGCGACTCGCCAGACTTTTTGTGCGGCTCTACTCGCTAACATAAATTATTATCCAAATTTTAAATAGGAGAAAAACTTTATTGTGAACTCTTAATTTATTAAAAGTCGTAAAGAAGTTTTCGTCAATGATTAAGACAAATTTTGTTTTAGTATGAAAATCGCTGTAGCGTTGAATTTTGAATTTAAGTCAGTCAAGTCAGCAAATCTTTCGTCACAATGGTCAATGTTTATTGATGCGTCGGCGGTATCGAAGCTTGATTGCGGTTAGTTAGTCCAGGTTACTGTGCAATATGTCCTCAATTAAAAAACGAAAGTACAAAAAAAACAGAGTTGTCAAGTCAGAATGGGAAGAAGAATACGCATTAACCAGTCAGGAGAATAAATCTTTGTGCTTAATCTGTCATAAGCTAATAAGTCAGAATAAAGTCAGCAATGTTAAACAGCACCATGGAACGAATCATGAAAACCTCTTACGAGACTACCCTCGTAAATCAGCTATAAGGAAACACAAATTAAATGAGCTCAAATTGTGCATATATTTGAGTATAGCTGCCTTGTTTATCTATTTATTGTTATTAGACTCTTGTGTGAATTTCTTTTCTGTTCATGGTATTTTGATAATATTAATAAATTCACAAATTCTGCGGCTTTTTTAAAGTTCTGACTTACAGCATGCGGCTCTTATACTAAAAAATTGTGCCCACCCCTTGCCCCCTGTAATAGATCATCCCAATTGTTCAATGATATGAACCCAGGAATAAAAGCTAATCTATGATCCCAATAACTGCTGCTGTGGTAGAAAAGATTTAAATTTTATTCTAGTTAATTCATTGCTCTATGACTTAAATTCATATATATATGAGTTACTTCACTGCAAGATCTGTGAATTCAGCATGAAAAAGCATAAGACTATCAGTATCATCAAATATTTGACGAAGTTTTAATATTGACAAGTGTTTCAAAAAGATCTGAGTTCACCTTTGGTCGTACCGTTTGCGATAAAATGAACCTAATAACCTATACATAAACTTTTACTGTGGGTGTGTCTGTTTCTATGTTTGCACAATTACAATTGTCAATAGTTAATACTTGACCAAAATGCAATGTATGTACCTGGCACTCTTTATCTGACACATTGTAAAACAACGTCTGCAGAGTTGGTTTGGAAGATTCTAGTAAAGTAATGTGTTGCAATATTTTACTATTACCTTAGATAGTTTCAATCTTATTCTGTAGTAGAAGTTATTGCTAGTTAACAAAGCAACATGAAAGTACATTTGTTGTGAATATAATTTAATTTTAGTTGGGCTTGGGATTAGGATGTATTAAATTAGTTTGTTTGTTATATTTGAAAAAATAAAATATTTTTTGCATATCAGTTTTATCCTGACTTTCTTTTCATGTTGGCTTTCAGACTGTATGTCTGATTGTAATGAATATTGTTTTTATTTTCAGTGTGTGCTGTTATCAAAGACCTACAGGTTGTTGCACTGCCATTTGTTGCTCATGTCGTTCGACATTACACTCTCGTTGCTCTATCCCAACAAGCAGGACCATTTCCACTCACAGCAAAGCAACAGAGTCAACAAGGATCCATGGGTATGTTGGGAATATAGTTTATTGTTGATTTTTTGACAGATTTTCAGAACAAGAAGACTCAGCTGTTGGTGCGTCATGCGTAAATGTTAGAGACATGCTTGCCATCGCATATCTGATTACCCTGCACCAGTTCGCAGGTTTCGAATCCTGTGGGGAATAGTTATAAGAGGGAGGATTGTCAGACTCGCCACCGCCATGATGGTTTACGTAATTTCTGGCCTTTTGCAGCTCCCACTATCATGAATATACTGGTAGCTTCATTCTTTTCTATACTCAAAACAAAGTTGTATCTCATGTCAAATTTTGGGATTCGATTTCTTTCTAGTTTTAACAGAAATTATTCAAAGCCAAGTGAACAAATTTTTCGATTAGATCATTTTGAGCTGTTTTCAATGAACCTCATTTAAGGGTACTCCCATAGTATGTGTACCAGGTTAGGGTTAGACCTTAATTTTATTCCGATTTTCCTTATTTTAGTTCTATTACGAGTTTGGGGGCTGTCTGTGTTAACCAAGTGAATATTCCCCTGCCCATAGGTTTCAGTCCCTTTACACAACTTGATGTAAAATGGGCGAACAAAATTAGTTATCTCCATATTGGTACACACTTCTGGAGCACCTATTTATGACCTTTCATAACCTAATTGAGTGATTTATAAAATATTCTCTCGATATATCAATGATTAATAGATTATTTACCAGAATATTATCATACTTTGAGTGTGCTATTTCTGTTGTATGAGTGTGAGTTTTCTTGAAATGCTGAATATGCATAGCACATCAAACCATTAGATATAAAATTCATTCCATTTACTCTTATAGCTAACAGATATATGGAAATTGGCATTCTATATTGTATCAGAATGTTTCAGACTTTCTGGAGTAAATTTGTTCTGCATTGGATGTTAATTTTACAAGCAGGAAAGTACATGACTAAATGTAGCATATTGCAACATTTTTGGGATGAAAAGATATGCTCAAAGGAAGGTCATGCGCACTTAGAGGTGAAGGAGATAACTGAAGTGCCAAGAGTTTTTGAGCCTATTCAGAATTACAGGCTGAATTACATGTTGGCAAATACCAATTGACATGGGACACTGGGAAGTTCAGATTAATATAATCAGGAAAACAGCTATCTACGTAACTTATGTTCTTCAAAAAAACCTATGGCATTCATTTTTTGATGGGTACAATGATAGTAAACGAATGAGAGCTCACAGCCAACCATGTAAACACCTTCCCACACTAAAAAATAATTTCTATTCCAGGTTTCTGTGCTGGTGTAAACAGCTGGTGGTCTGGTATGGATCCTTTAGTTTTAATAGATTCAATAGCAGAATGTATGGCTTACGAAGAAAAAGAATTATGCAAAGTTGGAACAATTGCTATTAGTATCATCATTGAAGTCACAAGTAAGCTCGTGATTTAGTTTTTTAAATTCAATATTTTTAGTTTTAAGTCTTTCTTCATCTTGGTGCAGATGTTCTTTATATATTTATAAAATATTCATTGTATCATTAATTAGATTTATTTCAATTACTGTAATTTATGGGTTATGAGGTGCATCATCAATAAATTGCTCAGATTCGTCTTTTGTCCATACATAAGGCCGACCGAACTATAAGACACAATCGGTACTTGAACTGGTTTTAAGTGTAGGCAATAAAACATGGAACATGAAGCACTACCTGATCCGTACATTCATTTGGCACATCAGCGTTTTTTGAAAAAAAGAAGAATTTTGAAGTTCATGTGCCTTTTGGTCCTTAAAATACGGTACTTCGCTCTTACATTTTTGATGAACATAACACATATTTTGGAGTCATTTAGACATTTTTGTCATCGTATCCATCCTAAACCCAGGATATTTTGCTTTCATTGCAGCTATAATTAGTTAAATTTGGTAGCCTATGACTGTCTATTTTATATTCCAATATCTGTGGTGTACTCTTTTCCTAGGTACTGTACTTGGATCCAGAGAACGTGCTTCCAAGTTGCCACTCTTCTCATACTTGGTTGATAGAATGTGTGCTTGCTGTTATGATCGAGCATGGTACGCAAAATATGGTGGATGTATCGCTATAAGATATTTGATGGAACAGGTATGTGTTTGTTAAAAGAAGAAACTTATCTCTGGGAAAGTTGAATGGTGGACTGGCCATTGATATGCCTGACGAACATGATCCAACTTTGATCATACTTGTCTGTGGAGCAAAATATTTTTTTGGGTGTGTAGGAATAAAAATAACTTTTTTGACCTAACATTCTTTGATTAAATTATTGATAATCAAAATGGTAGGAAAGTTCTAATTCTTTTTCCCGTATAGTTCACCGGGAAGAATTCTGTCCTTCAAGAAATAACAGCCTCTTTCTTACATATTAATGCTGCCTTTTTGGAGGGGAAGGCAAGAACAAGCATCATATAAGCAATTACCCATATGATCATTATCTATATTCAAATTTGTGACAATTTTTCTATTCAGAAGGGTTACATTTGAAATAAATTTGTATGTCAGATTACGAAATTCCACATTGCATTCAAAATACCAAATTTTCAGTTTCTATCACCAAATAAAGAAATTATTGGTTACTGTACTATTTCCACATTTAATTGGTAAAATTAACAACTTTTTTTCAGATGCCTCTTAAATGGGTTTTGGAGCAACAGTTTGTTTTTCTACGAGCTCTATTGTTTGTTATGATGGATTTGACAAGTGAAGTATCAAGTGGTGCAATCGATCGGGCAAAAGACATTTTACAGGTTTACATTTTTATTGTTTTCATAATAGATAATTGATCTTGTATAAACAATACTGTATTCTTGTTCTCATAGTCCAGGGTGTCCATAAAATTCCTTTTCAATTTCAATTTTGTTATGAAGTTAGTTCTCAGTATATCTTAACCAACCTATCAGTAGAGGTTACGTGAAACTAATCGAGTTTATTGTTTTTAATCAGTATTTTTACTTCATTTAATACATTTTTGAGGGCCATATAAACTCCACATATTTTTTGATTTCAATAACAGAATCTTCTAAAGAAATGTGCTTCACCGCTAACTAGTCCTTTGTCAGAAGATAGAGAAGCTGTTGCCTTGCAGACAACTTCATTTAATCAAGTCATGAGAGAACTTGTGAGAGAAGTTACCTCACCGAACCAACTAGTCAGAGAACAGGTAATAATAATGACCTAGTGCAGCTGTTCCCAAGGGTTGTGGGGGGGGCCACAATGCTAGGCGCAAAACTGTTACTACTTTTTCCTTGACAGGAAGACTCATTCTTCTTCGTATTTTCATTCCTTGATGAGGTTATTTCACAAGATTTTTTCACTTTGTTGAGCATGAATTGTTTGAACATAATGGGATTTGCAATCCATCAATCAATCAATTAACACTATAAATACCACTGAAATGATAAACAGGGGGGTCGTGAGTGTTAAAAGCCTTCGAAAGGGGGCCACAAGCTCCAAAAGGATGATAACCCATTGTCTTAACTACCTTGACATTGCAAGTTTAATGATTTTGGGTTCAGATCCCATGATCTATACCTCACCCAGGCTGTGATAAATTTGATAAGAAATGTAGAATTAGAACGATTTTGGTTCTTGGAAAATATTTTCTTACACATCTTATATTTTCTTGCATATACAGGGTCTTGTTTTGAGCGAAGGCCTTGATTAAGCCAAAATATATGATATCTCTGACCAAGCATGACACAGTGCCTCATTAACGCAGTTCATCAATAACCACCCATGCTTGGAATAGGGAAAAATTCAATCTTTCACTCCATCATTATTTTCAGGCGATGAGTTCGCTTCATACTTTGGCAGAAACTTCGGAAAAGAGTGTAACATCGATTATGGCTCCCCATCGTGATGTGTTAGCCGACATGATTCCACCTAGAAAACACTTGCTTCGGCATCAACCAGTGAATACTCAAATTGGACTCATGGATGGAAACACTTTCTGTAACACTCTCAATCCAAGATTATTTACAATTGATTTAGCTATTGTGGAACATAAGGTGGGTGTATTATACTTTATCAGCTTTAAATAAAGTTTATCTTACTGAAAAATTTGTGTTAATATAGTAAAGTTTTAAATATAAGTTTGTGTCAATATTATTCTGCCCATATTCAAAAGCATCTATTTCCCCTTGGTAGTTTGTTCCTGGTTTTCATGGTGAATGTGTCATTTTGTTTATATTATATTATGTTCAAATTTTTGCTGGAGCAGTCTGTCTGTCTTCATATTTGTCAGGGTTAAATGTCACATAATTGTGTTATATGCCAAAATGACTTTGTATGTGTGTCTTGTCTTTCAACCTTTGATGTCTGTAATTCCAATCATGCAATTTGTTATTTGTTGAGAGGAATGAACATACATGCTACATATGTTTTCATCACCAACTGTCAGTTATGACTTTTCTACTAGTTCTGTTCATGTATCCCAGATGATTCCATTCTCATGTGCATTAACAGAGCAATATATAACAGATTAAGATTTAACACTATGTCGCTGACAAGTAGGCCGAATGATCATTTTGCGGTCATCAAGTTCATTCTGTGCATTCATATATTTTTAGTTTTGCTTCATTTTATTGTGCCTGTTTGCTTGAATAGCTAATAAAAAAACACCTTGTTTGATTTCAGGTTTTCTTTACTGAATTGTTCAACATTTGTGAAGCAGATGACGCAGCTTTAAAAAAACTAGCTTGTTATAAAAATGTTGCAAGCTTAGTTCCTCTCAGAATCAGTGCAATGAAAGTTTTGGCTGCATTGCATTACATCCCCCAGGTAATAAATCGTGAATATAATGTCAATATAACTAAATTTAATCGCATCTCAACAAATTCCTTGAGCTATTTTCAGCTAAAATATCAAAACTTGGTTTTGGCTTGGTTGTGGGCTTGTGGCAGCATCAGGCAGTCCAGATTGATTTATCCACTTATCCAATATCCACTTACCAATATACTTTACAGGTGAAAGATCGAATTATTAATGTTTTATTCAAACAACTCGGATCAGAAAGTGAAGAATTGATGAAAACAGCAGAAGAATGCATTGAAAAATTTTTGAAAGGAACTGCAGAAGAAGGAAAACCAGTAGAAAATGAAGTTCTTCATAATGCAATGAGACCAACGCTGTTCAAAATGGGAGATTATCGGTAAAAGACTGTTCGTAATTCGTGGACGCAGTGACCCAGTGGTTAAACTTAACTTAACCCAAGCGTTAAACTTAACTATGATATTTTGAAATCTTGAGTTTGAATTCCACCACCTTACCCAGAGTGAAATATGAATTGTGAATAATTCTCATATTGGTCATTTTCAATAATATAGTATCATACTGAGTGTTTGCATCTCTGATTACTCTTCACAGGATCGATCGCTGGTTTTAATTCCAGAGAGGACAATTTATAATAAATGGAGAATTTAGCTGGACTCTTCGGGTCTGTTCCTCCACCACCAACTCCATGCATTTGGTTTGCCATATGATTAAACCATAATATCGGCTTTTTACTCGCCCAGGTTAAAAAATAAAAGTCTATTTAAGATCAAAAGTTTCTGTTTGAAATGATAACATTTCTTATGTTTGCTATTTTGTTTATAATTTATTTTTTGTCACTTTAGGAGTCTAACACTGAGTGTGGTACGCCATCTTGCTACACTTTCTCGACTTTTTCCGAATTCATTCAACGAGAAGCTCTGTGAACAACTTTATACTCATCTCGGAAAATGGTTGGAAGTTGTTCTACACAAACATCAATCTCACACTGATATCCAACAAGAATTGAAACTGTGTGTCGCTATTCTAGACATATTTCATCTCATTCCACTCGCCCCTCAGGTGAGAATTTTTTGTAATAAAATTAGATCATGGCTGGACGGAGAATAAAACATAATCTATTTTAGCCTTCGGAGAGGTTGTCCAACTTGTCCCAAATCTATGATGTGACCCAAAAGAAACTGTAAATTACCTGATACCTTTTCTGAAAATGACGAAATTTTATTTAACACTTGAACTTCTATTGTTTGTGATTGCACCCAGAAGTTTCATTTATCTAGGACGCTTTGTACGAAAGTTATGTTCTCTCTAGAATTTGTCCCAAATGACCTGGGTTCTATTTTTTGTGTACCACCTTTTTTCCACTTGTCCCAATTGCACCGCATTTCCCAATTGTATAGATCAGGGGTGGCCAACCTATGGCGCATGCGCCAAACGTGGCACATTGCATGATTAGAGGTGGCGCATTGCATCTTTAACCCTTTTCATGCCAAAATTGTTAATTGCACTTGGCTTCTCCACGCCAAGCCGTTTTTTTGCGATTTACATGGTGACTTTTGATTGTACCTAAAATCTATTCTCATTACTCATCGTCGCCCACTTATGGCTTGTTGGAATTAGAAACAACAGGCGATTATCGACGTTAGCTTTTGGACGGACTTTATGACATTCATTCTAGACTTTTAGCAAAAATTAGTAAAATTTACTATTTTTTCCCTACTGAAGTAAAAAGTTCAGAACTTCTGGAAAAATAGAAAATCGTCATTTATCAGCTTGAAACATGGATTTTCTATTGCCCAGACTTCCCAAATATCTCCCAATAACCATTGAACAACCAGTTGAATTGCCCAAGCCTAAAAAATTTATTATAAATCAATCCAAAACATGCTGAAAATGACCCCTAAATACCACCTTTTTCATCCAAACTTCAAATGACCGTTGTCAACAAAAGCGAAGCGTAAAATCGCTTGCTGTGACGCAAGTACTAATCTCGAAAAAGCCTGGAGTAAATGCACTGCTCCTCTTAAGAACAAACGTACCTCCAAGAATAAAAAAACTGGCGAAAGTAAAACAGCAGCAAAAGTCTCATAAAGGCGGTACTTAAAAAATAAAATTGATCAGTTTTATTTATTATACTTCCTTGCTTAATTTTTATTCATGTGAAGTTGTAAATTGTAAAAACTACATATACGTGTGTATATATGTGTGTGTATTATAAATTTATATAATTTTAACAAGAAGCGGACATTAGGCGTGGGAATACAAGAGATTTACGGCGCATCTGAAACATTATGTTTAAAACGTGGCGCATGGTATGTGAAAGGTTGGCCACCCCTGGTATAGATCTACCGAATTTCATATCTATCCTAACCCAGAAAAATTGGTAAAAGTGGAGCAATTATAAGACAAGTGAGAAAGGTGAGAAAATTTGAAAAAGCAGGACAAGTGGGACATGACATTTTGGAGCCATTGCCCAGTAATATTACTACAGTACCTCTACACCTTCCCCAATTGTCCCAACTGTGTGGATCCATTAAATGTTAATCTATTCAAACCCAGAACATGGGTGGTAAAAGTTTGAGGCAAGTAGGAATGAATGGTACTGACATACCTGCTTTTGCACTCAAATTTTCAGACCTCATTTTTATATTTTCGAATGATTGTCATTCTTTTTATTAATTTTAGTCCCTTCTGGAGCCTTTGATCACCAGCGTAGTCAAAACTGAGGCAGGTCTGATGACGGAAATTGGAAGTCCTTTACGTGAACCGTTGTTTCAATTTGTTGTTCAACATCCTGATGAAGCCTTGCTAATTTTCTTGCAAGAAGTTCATGTTACCAACGCACATTGGAATCGACTTATGGTAATTAATTCTGTGTTAAGAATATTCAGTATTTTTTAATATTTTGAATAATTTTTGAATAGGATTTTGTATAATATAAATCATTGAATATTTCTCTACAGTGTTGGATGCCCAATCCCTGAATTGTTTATCAAGTCGAGTCAGTCATCCACAACTTGGAACATGTCTTACTTCCAGTAAAATTTAAAATTAGAATCTTGAGTTCAAGTTATAATAATAGTTTAAATTAATGCCATTTTAAAATTGATCAGGACTTAATTATGAGTTTATGATTGCGTTGACGTGAACATGGCCTATTTTTAGTTATCAAATGTGAAAAGCTTGAAAATTTTCAATTTATTCAATACAGCATTAATCTGTTATATTTCACACTTATGACTATGTGTTCAACTTAAAGAAAATAGTCATACTACTATTTATACTATACTATCTCGTCATAATACTAATTCTTACAGACATTTTTCCTGAAAAAACAAGATGAGAATGGTCGACTTTTGCGACACACTATGGAACAAAAGAGTTCTCAATTGCTTGATGTATGTTTCAGTAGACAACTGTATTATCATGGATTACAGGTTAGAATTATTTTTGCTCTCTCGCTGGTGTGACATTTGATAATAATGCTATTTTAAATTATTGGGTTATATTGAAAATCTATTATACAACAATGCCTTTAAAGAAACTAGGGTGAAGAAAAGCATTGTATTTTATGTGCATTGAGGATAGGATTTACATATTTCTTCTGTGAGAGAAAAAAACAACAAGACGGCTTAATCATATGGCGAACCACAGCCTCTCTTTCGGTTAGCAGTCCATGTTGGGTATGGCCCGTATGGGATTAGTTAACCAGGTATTTTGTTTTCAGATGCATGAACTTGATTCAAAAATCTAGTTAGGTATTTGCGATTTAAATATTGCTATATCACTGACAAATACTAGTTTTAATCTGGTGTGTTTTCATTTGAAAATTTTTGAAGTAAAGTTTTCTCATAGCTAACAAGTTTTAATATTCTAGGTTATCTGGATTCTTGCAAAGAACAATTCAAATTATTTGGTTCAGCATGTTAACATTATCAAGAAACTGCAACTTATTTGGTCAAGTCGTGAATTTCAGCAACGACACAAACATGGTAAATTTGATGATTATTTTGTCATGTATAAAGAAAAGTGGGAAAATGAAGAAAGTTATGGTGTTTTGGGGTTTGCTTTTCAAAGTTTGGGTATCAAGTTTCTGTGATAAAAATTACTTTTTTGGTTCAAGTTCATTTATATATAAGGTGTATGTCGTTGGCACATTTATTATTTATTATCCAGGGGGAACAGAACATATTAGTATGCTTTTATCATGTGTCGAATCTTTTCTTCTAGTTGGCCATTCCAGACTGTATATGGTGAACAGTTTCTGGTCCATAAGTTTTGTACCTAAAATATGAAATTCCCAAAGTTTAGTTTCATTATTGTACTAAAATCACTAATTCATCACTAAAATCAGCATGATATAGACCAGGGCTTCCAAAACTGGCGGGTCGCGACTAGGGCTGGGCATTTCGAATCGAATATTCGAATCGAATCGAATATGAAAATATTCGAATCGGTTCAGAGCAAAATTTCGAATCGCAACCATCTTGTTTTTTTCTCTTCGCCAATGGTCTAGCTAAATTTTTCATTTTTTTTATATTGAAGCCATATTTTTTCAACGCAACTCTGACATATGACTCTTTTCTGTAACGAGGTATTGATGAAAACGTGTTTTTTATTGTGTGTGAACGCTCAGCAATCTGCCTGAGTGATGTATTCTATGTTTTCAGTAATTTATGTGTCTGGGGAACCTAATACAATAAAAAAGTTACATACAATTTTATATCTCTGAAGTATTCGAGATTCGATTCGATTCGAAAAAATTATTCGATTCGATTCTGAAATCATCAGGTATTCGAAAATGCCCAGCCCTAGTCGCGACCCTGCAGCGGGGCGGGCGATGAATTTTAGAAGTTGCAAAGAGTACACCAACTTTACACAAAGTACCATATCTGACTTATGATTCAAAACACAATTATTAAAACTATTGCAAAACGTTCATGTAAAAGTGTTTATTTTAATTTTCCCGATTTCTTTCAGATCAATCTCTAACCATTCATTTCAACGAACCTCGGATTTTGGCAAAAATATTGAATTTGTACGTAAGCAACAATCCAGATAATGTTGAGCTTCATTTCCAATTACTCCGGGGATTTTCCGGTCGATCTCTTGCGGATTTCACTTTTCTTAAAACATGGTTTGAAGAGAAAATACCTACAACTTATTCGATACTCCAAAAAAGAAAGGTAGGTATCTATTGTTCTGATGCACGGTTGCCCAAAACAAATTGAAAATTAGAATGCATTCAAAACTGGTAATATTTGATACAGTAAACATATGATTTTTGAAATAGTTCAGAATAACTTTATTTGAAAAAATGTCATTATACTCATTTGATGTCTGATTGTCAGATGTAAAATAAGATTCTATTTAACTTATGATTATGTTAAAAATAGAAAATAACATGTACCTATAAACTATTTTGCATTGCCAAATTCAAGTTTCTAACAATATCCAATAATTTCTGCAAATTTGTCTCTGTTTATTATGATACAATTCACAATATCTTCAATATTTTCTCAGTTAAAATATGGTTTTATAATATATTTGAAATAGGTAAATATTTGATTTTGGCAATTTTTATGTTAATAAGTTATATTTGAAAAATGAATTGAGAAACAAGCAATTTGGTAATGAGAAAGTACGGTAAATGAAATATTATCCAATCTTTCTGGAGTCTAGAGTCCCAGGATAAATATGTAAATCCTATCTTACCCTATTTCAGGTTTTCTTCAAATATGTTGAGTTATTCCATGATGATGCTTTTCCTGCTGAACTCAAAGCTTATGCTCTGCAATATATTCTGATTCCAATGTTCAAAAAAACATTTGAGAACGGAGAAGGAGAACAAATAATTGGTGGACCTCCCAATCCTGAGTCTGATAATCATAACGATTGTATCAGCGTCTTCATCAACCAGTAAGTATAATGGATGAGTATACTTGCATAAACATTGGCCAATTATGACTTTCCGTAACTGATTCTAATGACTCTTTAACAGTTGGGTCGCTACTGCCGGGTTCAAGGGTGGTTCCCGTAACCGCTGGTCAGCTTCCTCCACCATCGGGTCCAAATTCTAATTTCCTTTTAATTTATATCGAAATTATTTTATTTTGTTCACAATTTTTTTTGTGTATTTTTCAGAGTAATTGATCCTGATCAGCCGTATGGAGTACCTGATGCAGTGAGGATCCAGTTGCTACGATTTTTAGCTTTACTTGTTGAAAATGCATCGACCCATATCCATGACCCCGGTAACAAACGCCATGGCAACAAACTTCGTCGTATAATGACATTTGCATGGCCTTGTTTACTTCCAAAGAATTGTATCGATCCAGCAACGAAATACCATGGTCATCTCCTGTTGTCTCACATCATTGCCAAGTTTGCAATTCACAAGCGAATTGTGCTGCAGACTTTCTATTCTCTTCTCAAGGTAACTGATGATTTAAGAAGTACGCAACATGTAGGACAAAATTTAAAACAGTGAAAAATGTGTTCATAGAGAGACTGACTTTTGAAAAGTTACATGAAACTCATGAATAATAAGAAAAAAAATAGTGTAGTATTAGAGCACTAGTGATTCTTATTGGGACAAGACTAACTCGTTATTTTCCTATTGTAAACGATTCTGGAATTATTTTTTCTTTGGGATTTTTACCGACTGTTATGTTAGATGTCATGTTGTAATATGTGCGAATTGATGCCCACCCCATACCTTACTTTTTTAGTGGAAATTGGTTATTGTAAACCTTGGTTTAAATTATGTAAATTTATTAATGAGCAGTTCTGTTTTTACGCTCAGAAATTAAAATGAATTGGAGGATTGCAATCCATAAATTTAATATTGAGCTATTCAAACGTATTGCATCACACTTCACAAATTTGATTCTGTAAGGTTTTGTCTGGCTGATAGTGTCTGAGAGCGTGGTATTTCAACAGCTCAATAAAAGTTGTCTTGATTGTTGCTACGATAGTGATGCGGTCAGTGCATAAGTATTCACTGACACATAGAGTAGAAAGAAAGGAGAAGTACTTAGAAACCTGCTTTCCTATAATTTATGCGCACCCTAAATTCAACTATTATATCCGCCTCTCATTCTCAACTCGCTTTTTCATCTCGCAATATTTTATCCAGGCTCATGCTGTAGAAGCTCGTGCTGTTGTTCGTCAAGCACTCGATATTCTCACGCCAGCTATGCCTACTAGAATGGAGGATGGAAATCAAATGTTAACACACTGGACAAGAAAAATTATTGTTGAAGAAGGACATACTATTGCTCAGCTGATGCATGTCTTGCAACTTATTGTTAGACATTGTATGGTTAGTTTTCAATTTCTAATAATTATCCAATGATATAACTTCTAATAATTTGAAACAGATAGAGAAATTTAAGGTGTTGTCGCTAGACATTTTTTGTTTCAATACTATTTTTCTATTTTGTCTAAATTAAATTTAAATTCTTTTAAAAATTCCTGAAATTTAATTAACTAAATACTTACTAGTATAAATATTCCTTTAATTGACAATTCTGATACCAAGTGAACATGTTTACAACCATTGATTGAATGACGTTGATTGTCACCACAATATCCCAATGGTTAATGTACAGTCTTGGTTAGGTTCGTTCAAGTTCGAAGCGAAAAATGAAGCCAACTAAAACCAAGTCTGTTTCTTGAATTTAGTTCACTTGACTGTATTCAGCAAATACTGGAGTTTTAATTTACATAATTCGAATCTTGTGGAAAATAATTTTTCTACAATGACCAACTTTCCTATCCTTGAATTCCATTTTAAACTGTCGTCTATTCCCAGGTATATTATCCTGTCAACAATGGCCTTATACAACAAATGGTCGCATCAATGCAACGACTTGGTCTTGCTCCTAACATTAATGCAGAACATCGAAGGTATTTACTTTTTACTCCTTTTTATTCTTTATTTATTACTGTTATCTCGCAGAAAACATGGTTATATTATATGATACATCGAAAATGTTATCATGTTCAATGTTCGCTCTTCCTATTATATAGTAGTATGTAATTCTAATATTATTTAATTGAAACCAGAATTGAAGACTAGATTCCACAATGAAAACTTAATGTTTGCCGATAAAGGATTTCCATAAGATCATGGGGAAAAGAAAAGGGATAAGGCAGCCAGCTTGAGGAGGAAGCCATAACCAACCAGTGTTTGTGTGAACCACACTTTGACAGCAATTCTAGAAATCCCCTCGCACATAAATATACTACACAGGATCCAAAGCTGCAAACTACAAAAATTTAAAATGAATTAAATATTTTCTTTGTAAATTAACAGACTTGCTGTTGACGTGGCTGAAGTTTTATTGAAATGGGAATTGAGAAGATTGCAAGAATCAGGAATATTAGATTCTGGAGATGATGCAGGTAGGATGCTTTATACATTTTTTATACAAAGCCTATTCACATTATTTGCTCTGAACAATGCCCTGTACAATCAGCCACTGATATCTAACAATATGCAAGAAGGTATTATTCAATGGAGAAAATGAGTCTTTCTGGTTAGCGTTGCCTACTCGATTTATTATACCAGTAACTGTTAAATAGATTAAAAAAAATTTCATATAAAGATATTTCACTAACATCTTGAAGAATCAGTGGATTATTCGCAGTTAAACTAGAAATATTGTTGTTATGAAAGCTATAAAACCTATGAACAAATACAAATAAACAATATTTACCAATGTACACTGTAGAAATGATAGAGCTTACCATCATGCCATCTGACATCTCAGATTAGGATGTTATTTCATATTCATGTCAAAGATTATCATCATATACAAATGTGTACTTCTTATTTTCTGCAGTGAAACATCTGACCTATCCAATGTCTAACATTTCTTTGATGAAAACATTATCTGGTGAATTGCAAACCTCATCAAGTCATCAAGTGTCTCCAATTGATAAGAAACATTCCGATTCTGTTGTTAACTTTCTACTGAGAATGACTTGCCAGGTATGTGTTGAAGTTTACTTTTCGACCCCAAATTTGAAAACTAAGCACTAATTACTTAGGCACTGTGTGAATTCTATGTCTACGGTAAAGCAGAAAAAACTGTATTAAATCGCTGACATTTAACGATATGTACTTTTGAAGGACTGGAAACTTTTATGTTTAACTTTATCTATACAATTTGTTACATTTTGGGTGAGCTGATGGACATGGGCTTCGAGTCAAAGATGTGAACGTAACCTGCGATATGAGATGAAACTACCGGTACTCCATAATTTTCCAATTTTATAACTGGATATGGCAGGACGAAATGAGTAATGGATAGTAAATAGTTCAAAATATAAGCTTACAGCTTTTGACTATATCATTTGAATGAAGAAATCAAATCTATATTGAAAATTCCACTATATCTCTATAGTCTATTTTCTTCTTATAAACCTAATCCTAATAATACTGGTTCAGGGTAATGATTCATCTGGAGGTTCAACTGGAGAAATACTTGGAAGACGATGTATCGCATTATTGAAGAAAGCTCTAAAACCAGAAGTCTGGCTAAACTCTGATCTACATTTAGGATGGCTTGAAAAATTGTTGCTTTCTGTTGAAGCTTATCAACAGGTGTGTCCACTTTATGCAAATAAAATTCAATATTTCAAATGGAAAATACTGAATACTTATACAAAAATATTTTTTGTTTTTTTCAATTTTTAATTATCTAACCTTTGAAGGTATGAAGAAAATGATATCAGCTAATAAAAATTAAGTTTACATCATGTTGAAAAACCTTGAATGCTATACACATGTATAAGGTGTTATTGTACTACTTATTCGAGGTGGATGAAATATAGGATGGCTCATAGGCCAAGATTGAGATTAAGTTAGAGTTGAGGCATTATGTCCTAATGTTTATTTGATCCAATATTGATTTGGTTCTAAACTTTTTTCAGAACAATATGAGCAACATTTGTACGGCACTTGATCTTCTGACATTATTACTCCAACATTTACCAAAGGAATCAATCTTGACAACTTTCAAACCGATACAGAATGGAATTGCTGCTTGTATGAACTGCTCATCTACCAAGGTAAGTACAAAATAGGTCACTGTGAATGTGACAGTCGGTAGTTGGTGTATCTCCAAACAGATAAACCATTCGCTTGGTGTACTCGTAACTTGTGATGAATACATGCTTGAAAGTACCGGATATATATTCTGAGAATAAAGAAAGAGAGAGGAAAATTTATTAATTGCAGGATTTTTCATAATTCTATTTGGAGTTTAAATGAAATTTGTGACTTTACGAATTGATTTAAAATAAGAATTTCAAAGTTTACACTTTATTAGTAGGGCTTACTCTCAGGCAAATTTGCATTTTTTTATAAAGGATGTTGTAGATGTTCTTGTTGGTGACAAAAGCCATAACCACTCTACTGTAGCAAGAACTGCAACAATTCTTTAACACTAGTTGTTATAAGTTTTGTTAATTTGGATATTGCACTTATTCAATAGTTGTCAGCATCAAATATCAGCAATTGAATTTACATAATATTTTCTTATATTTGACAGATTATTCGTTCTGTGCAAATGTTGTTATCTCGATTGATGTCAATTTTTCCAACTGAACGTAGCATATTAAGTGTCTCATCAATGCATGAACAACTAGAAGTCTTATACACGGCCGTAGGAAAAAATATACAAGAAGGACTCGCTACTTATGAAAAGACAACAAATGCTACAGCATCAAGTACGTATTTATTTTGTTTTCGATTAATTTTATTGGCATTGCAATTAACACATCTTTGGTTCAAATCCCATGCTCTGTTTCATGTGACCATCCTCACCCAGGGTGAAATAAATTGGGAAGACAATGCCAGAATGATTCTGGTCCTTCCAAGTAAATAGTAGTTACATACATATATCAGTAGCTGCTTGTACAGGACCTTTATCAGAGCAAAGGCACGACTAAACGTCATATAAAAAAGTAAAGTCTAAAGTATCTTATACATTTAGTGACATTGGATTTCATGCAATGTAACTTGTTATTTCTGTTCTTTAAATGTGTCTCTTAACTTGTATCATTTTTGTATTCACGAGGTGGAGATGCGGAAATAATTTGGTATTAAACCAGCTTATCTGTTTAATAGCTATTCATTTTACTGCTAAAACTAAAACTTACTTCGTTTTTAGGTCTCTTCCCAACTCTTCTCATTCTGAAGTCAGCATGCACTCACAATGTGAGTTACATTGATAGATTGATGAGTGTTTTCATGAAAACGTTTCTCAAACTTGTTAAAGATCATCTGAATCCTGCACAGGCACCAGGACAAACTACTCCTGAACCTAATCCAGGTATTCTATGTTTTTCTCATCAACACACTACCACATGGACTGCTGTACCCCACACTGTCATTATTTCCCAGTGATAATCCCAGATTTTTACAAATTGCATGCAAAATTCCTCCAACTTTATCGATAGGGATGAACTATAATCTCACAAAATAAAACTGCTAGGAAATGTATTGAATAAACTTTTGACTACCAGCCCCTAAAATCCACCTCGCACCTCTGACTGACACAGCGTTAAATTGGTTATATCTTCATGCGACAGCACAATCATTAAACTCTCTTCACAAAGTTTTCATTGACTATTGTGACTGGAATATGTAGTCTTACAATCTTTTTTGGGATAATTTTTTTCTGGATTTAGACCTCATTCTGAAGTCAGCATGCACTCACAATGTGGTTACATTGATAGATTGGTCTTGTGCATACATCCCATCTCCAGTATTTATAAATATTAATTTTTTTATATTGCTTTTACGAGACGAATAAACATACATACAAGATTGTACAGAATTATTATTTATCAGTACAATGATGCCTTTCTCGAATGGTTAGCTGAATGAGCTAAAACATCCAGCCATGGGTCAGTTCCTATAAATATATATACCAATAGGGCAATACATATCAAACATGTGAGAGAACAAATATACGGCATTATTTGAAATTTATTTCTTCAGAGTCTTAGATAGAAATGAGATACCTCACTCTCATTTTTGAATTACCGTACTAATCTCAAATTAATATTAACAAATTAAAAGTAAGCTTTTTCAATATCTTTTTGTTTTCTTTCCAGCCTCTGGTGAACTAATCATAATATGCCTTGAGCTTGTGAAAAACAGAGTTTCAGTTATGTCAAGTGACGTCAGAAAAACTTTTATCCAAAATATTCTGGCTCAACTTATTGAAAAATCTGTTGATGGGAAAATTTTGAAAGCGATTACAAAAACTATGGATGAATGGCTGAAGGTGGGTTCTTGTAATATTTTTCATGTGGACTTTCATGTAACTGGATAATAGTGTTTTCTTGTTTTAACATTCTACACTCTGAACATGGCATCACACAAGCAGCGATTTTGAGGTTAGATGCTGCAAAAGTTTGGAAGGATCGGATTTTTTCTGGTTTGGCATTGCCAACCTAATTTATTACACCCTGGGTGAGGGTGGTCACATGATTTACACTCAAGATTTTAACCTGTAACTCCGTCACAGTCGAATATTTACTACATCAATTACTATGCTTTGATGTTCACTATGTCATTGTTTTTAGCTTTATATGAAGGGAAGTTTGCAGAGATGTTCCATAATAAGCCAATCACAAATTTCTTCTCTTTATTTCTTTCAGATCAAATCGACTCCTGAAGCGAGCCAGGTTCCTACAATGAGAGAGAAATCCCATTTGTTATTAAAAATGATGACATTCATTGAAAAAAGATTTCCAGACGATCTTGAATTACAAGCCAGCTTTTTGGAACTTGTCAACTATGTTTACAGGTTCGAATTTGGCAAAATCTTATTGTCCATATTTTTCCGTGACTAGATTTATTTTTGGATAATGTAAATAGGTCAATAAATGCTATATATATTATTACTTATACTTAGTTTTTGTGTTGTAACCATTTGTTTTTATTAACTGCTATTTGAGTTCTTACCTAGTTGATTTTGATGCTAGATTTTATCCAATTACCTGAGCTATATAGGAGTTAGTTAAACACAACCTGAACTTGACATTTTTAATAAATACCTTCGTTTTACATTCAAGATATTCTCTCTGATTCATGTATATCTAAATTTTAGCATAATTTGGTTGTAGAAAAGCCAAATTTCATGGGAGATACCGTTTGAAATTGATCAAAAATCAATGTTTATTCAATCGCATATGTATAATTTTGAATTGCATATATGTGACATATGTGCATATGTCTGCAACATATGTGTAATGCCGTCTTCGTAATCATGTTTTGGTTTTTAATAAAATGATAAAGTATTCATACTACTTCAATGCTAATTGCTAATAATATTATTTGTTCGGCCAGAGATGAAAGTCTTATTCGAAGTGATCTGACAAGCAAACTAGAACCTGCGTTTCTTGCTGGACTACGATGCAAACAACCAGCTATTCGACAAAAATTTGTAGAAGTTTTTGATCGCAGCATCAAACAGAAACTTTATGATCGTTTGTTGTACATTATTTGCTCTCAAAATTGGGAAGCAATGGGAAGTCATTTTTGGATAAAACAATGCATTGAGGTGATAATTTAATTTGATATATTTTATCTACATCAACCGTATCATCAAACTTAAAACAACATTTGGTACTGCCTTAGTGTATGTACCAGGTTAGGGTTAGGCCATCATTTTATTCAGGTTTTTCTTTTTTAGTTCTATTATGAGTCAGAACTGTCTGTGTTGGCCAAGTGAATATACCCCCTGGCAATAGGTTTCAGTCCCTTTACACAACATGTAAAATAGGCGAACAAAATTAGTTTCCTTCATATTGGTACATATGGAGGAAACTCCATACATACATTTCTGGAGTGCCCAACATTCCATGTTCTAAACCTTAAAAATTAATTATTTATTTAGTATTAAGGTATAATTAGTAAATGCCAGCAACAGTAATCTCGATAAAATCATTTTCATATATTCCATAGACATTTCCATTGAGTATATCATTAAACTTAAAGACATTATGTATGCTGTTAATCTGGAAAATTATTATTAAGTTGGTATGAATGAATAACTATTGAATGCCCATAACTAAAGTTACTCCAATAACACACCAAAAGAACTGGACACCGAACAAAATATTGCACATAATCATTCCAACTTCACATTTGGTTGGTCATGATCAGTCATCTGTAACTGCTGACATCATTGATCAATCTCAGGCATCTGGCAAAACACTAGTTGCCAGAAATACAATAAGAATACAAACACCAATAATACCCTGGTAGTATACTTTGTTCAGTGTGAATATATCCGCTTGTAATAAAGTATCAGTTTAAATCGAAGAGGAGTGCTTGTTCTTCCCATATCATTCCGACTCAGCTCATGTCATACATTATCAACTCCAAAGAACTCAACTATTCACAGAGAACACTCTGTCACATGAAAAAAAATTAGTTGTTATTTTCTTGTAACTACATTTGATTTGATACTTCTGGTTTTTCGCGTCTTCTTCACCCTGAAATACTGCCTGTTCATAATTTATTGCATTTCGTATATTTTGTGCCTATTATCGGTATGGTGAAAAAAAACTACTGATTACTGATTACGCGCTGTGCTTTATAATAATTTATTAATTTTCTATTCAGCTTCTATTTGCTGTTTGTGATAAAGGAACCTCGATATTTAGTCGTGGAAGTCCTTACCTTCTACCTTCCATCACAAATGTTGTGAATCTGGCTGATAGTCAAGAAAGACAAGTATTTGAGATGATGAGTCGTGTTAAGACTGAACCAATGGAAGTTGACATGGACAATAAAGATGATGTAAGCAAAAATTAATGTGAAAATTATTTTAATTGTTTTTAGCCATGCTGATGTGTTTTTATTTTCCTAATTATAAAACTTGAACACATTTTCATCGTATTGCAAAACAATAACTCAATATTTATTAGCTCTCAGTTGGGGTTACGCAAGACTAACTCCCATTGGAATTTTCATTGTTCTCTCACAATTTCCAATTTCACTTCTCTCTATTTGAAAACAAACCCAACAATTGCTAATCATTATTTATGTGCATGCTATCGAGTTTCTTATCGTAATTGAAAAATGCTCGTCTGAAGAAGTCTGACCGTGGTCATACGAAACGTTATAGAAATACATTTGTGTTAACCAAGTGAATATACCCCTGCCCATAGGCTTTCACATCTTGATGTAAGGTAGGCGAACAAAATTAGTTACATCCCTTTATTAAAATTAGTACACACACTTCTGGAGCGCCCCTGGGTGCACTGGTTTTGAACGCAGGGGTATAAATTCGTAAACGGTTTGCCACCTTCATAAGCAGTTCATATCCCATATCTGACATGGACTGGTAACCGGACCAGAGAAGTCGGGATTCAGTGTATGAATCTTCTATCTTAATAATTGTTTCCTCTTTAGAGATAAATGATAAAATCTTTCTCTATCTTTATTAAGAAATACTAAATTCATTGGTAATCGTAGTTTTTCATTTAATTTTTGTTTTGTTTATTTTATTCAGGATGAATCTCAAATGATGGAGACTAATTCAATCAGTGGAAACACACGACTAAAAAGCCCTATCCAACATTCAAAGTCGAAGGATCCCAAGCAACTTTTGGCAACGCTAATAACAAAGTACATTTTATTTTTTTTCATTTATATCTCAATTTAGCCATACTCTGATCATAGATGTAAGACATATGTGAGAGATGTAATAAGAAACTGTGGTAATTTATATAATTTGTGTGCATAGTTTGGTATATCTGGTATATCTCATATCTGTTTACTGGCAACAGTAAATTATTAGCTGAGTCATAGTTGGCATGCTTTTATCTGAGTCATGTTTTGTTGGTGCTTGATAATTTTATTGTGTACTACTTCTAGGTGCTGCTAACGTTTAGGTTAATTAAAGCTTAGTATTTGTAGATAGATTTGTTTGTAAAGTAATAAACTAAACTTAGGTTAAGACAAAAACAATGTTTTTTAAATATCACGAGATATATTTCATTTATAAAGTATGTCTATAATATTTTCTATTCCAGACATGGGAGATTCTTGGAATCCGTGACAGAAGTAAAAATCTGTTCGTTCCTGAATTCAGTGACTCAATTATGCCATCATGATACCGATCTTGCAAGCAAAGTTTGGATTCAACTTTTCCCAAGAATTTGGAAAGTTCTCAGCGACAAACAACAAGATGTAAACATTGTTTACTGTTTTTTTCTTTTTTTGAACATTATATTCTTGTTCAATAGAAAAGTATCTTCTCTTTATTAGTTTTAATTTCCCACATTACAGTATATTTTTCAACTCTGCATCTATTTTAACACTAGAACATGAATCGGAAAGCTTTTCCAAGATATTTTTTAATTTCTGCATTTTCTTTTATATTACCCTAGTTGCCTCATATCCGTTTTGAGAATTCAACCCACCCAATATCTTATTCAGATTTCCATTGCTCACACCTGAGACGAAGAGAAAAAATTAAATCTAATTCTTGCCATCAAGATTCTTGGAAAATCAGTTCTGACTCCTATTCTTGAGAGTAACAATATTTCTAGTTAAGCCTTCTGATCATTTAATAACAAAATGTAAACTATTAGAGCGTTTTTGTTTTCACCCTTATTGTGTTTCACTCGAAATATCATAAAAAATTTCGCACTTTCAACATCTACAAATCTCAAAAACTAGCAGAACTTGAAATTATATTGAGTTAGCTCATTTCAAAAGTATCTATTCAGTACTTTATTTCTTATCTTATCAGTCCTTTGCTTCTTATCTAATCAGTATGTTGCTTCAGATACTTCGTGGAGAAATTGGATCTTTTATATGCAGTGGAGCCCATCTTGTGCAGAAAGATTGTCAACCATCGTCGTTACATACTTTTGTTGAATCTTTATCTCACTGCATACCGCAACTCAAACTTAGGCCATGCGTTGTGAAATATCTGGGAAAGTAAGTTGGGTTCCTTACAGATGTACCAATATATATATCCTATATACCAGTAATAAACGTTTTTGTAGTGTGATATCAGTAGCAGATATTTCTGGGAGTCCATTCACTAAATTTTGTAAAAAGTCCTGTTACATAACTCGAAACTTGGTATTTTGATAACAAAATCTCGTAAATTTCATCCAAGCTTTTGCGAGAATGTTGATGCTTCACTAACACTGTTAAAAGCTTGTTATGATTCGTGGATGCCTGCCTTGAACACCATTAATGTAAAAATGTAAAGTGTATATGCAATCACATCTTTGGATATATTTCAAATATATTTTCCATCTTATTGATATGATGAGCTTCTGTGGCGAAATCTTGAGAATTTCTGGCATTTGTACCAAATAATTTAACACATCCTTGAAGTAGATATCCTCGTTAGTGAATTTTTCTTTTTGATACTTTTCACAAATACTATCTGATGCTAGTATCAGATAAAGCAAGTTTTGTATCATGTCAGCTTTTTGAAGACTGCAAGTCATAGAATTGCTTTCTTACAGGACTCATAATCTGTGGTTACGTTGCGCCATCATGCTTGAAAATTTATCTACGGAACGTGGCCTTTATTTGTCGAAACCCAAACAACAATCTCGTGGTTCTTCATCTTATGTCCCTGAGAATATTAATTCCGAACAACAAGAGGTATGTGTGTTTTATTTAATACCATGTGAGAATCAAAGAGATATGTGTGGATATGCACATAACCTTATTATGTGGCTCTAACGAGTCGAACAATGAATTTCTTTTGAATGTTCTTTAAACCCTTTTCTCATGTGATATATATTGAGAAGTTTCAGGTAACATCTTGCCACTGTACAATACTCTACCCCTGTTAAAAAATATTTTAAGATGATAATCATATTGCTGATTTCAAATATAGTCTACTCAAATTATATTGTCCTGGGTGAGGTGATGGCCATAGCATTTGGAAGCAAGAAATTTAATCTTTGGCGCCAACATGATGCTAAACTCTTGGATGCTGAGAAATTCTTTGAATCTAATCGAAGTCTAGAAACTGTTGGGCACACAAGGCTTTCTGGACACAATGAATATTTTTTCCTCTTGTATTTATTAAAGCACTATTAAAATAGGAATATATCATTTGGTATATATCCTACATTCAATACAATACAATTCTACATTCAATAAAGTATTAACATGGCCTTCATGTAGGAATAAAGTTTACTGCCTGTATACACGACTTGAATATTGTGAAACCTTTTTTGACTAATTAGACAGCGAATACTTAGAATTATTGAGATTTAATTGATATAACCCACAATTTTCTTTTTCAGATTCTGGATTCCTTGTGTAACTTATACTCACTTCTGAGAGAGGAAGATATGTGGGCTGGATTGTGGCAAAAACGTTGTAAATTTCCTGACACAGCTAAAGCAATTGCTTTTGAACAACAAGGATTTTTTGAACAAGCTCAAGTGAGTATCAATAATTTTATCTGTTTCCATCATGAAGAAAGGATAGAATTTATATTTAAAAATTGAAGGGAAAGTTAAGATGACTTTATCATAGGATAGGATTTTTATATTATCTCGATGCAGAGAAAAGTTGATAAGATGGCTCAATTATATGGTGTGCCACGGCATCTCGGCTTTGTAAGCCAGCCTATGACAGCAAGTCGTCAGATATCTTCTCGCACCTGTTATCCTACAAGACATCCTGAAAAATACCCTGCAGACTAATGTCTTTCTAAGCATAGTGAGCCGAGTCAGTTTTATAACCCATTTTCATTTTATGATAATTGCACTGAAGAGCTAAGTAAACTTCTGATGAATCATTTTTGTCTTTTTAGTCAACGTATGAAAGTTTAATGTCTCAAGCAAGAGATGATCATAATAAAGGTCCCGCACCAATAACTAACATTCCTGAATATCAAGTTTGGGAAGAACATTGGATCAGATGCTGCAAAGAACTAAATCAGGTAAACATCTTCCTAATATATATGTAATGCGGTCACTTGTAACTGAGTAGTATAGACCTTGTCAATTGTTGGATGTGGTAACTAATATTGAACATGATGTTTGTGTATCATTGATAAGACAATAATTTTGTTTTTTTATACGATTACCATTCTCAGCTCTTGCTCACAAAATGGCTTTGTTAAGCATTCTCCTTTATCTAACGATATATGAAGATTTAATATTTTTCTAAGGACCCGAATATTTACAGTAGGGCAATGCCTGATAAATTACACCCAGGATGAGGGTAGTGTGTCATTGCAGCAGCAGTCATTGTACTGCGTAGATGAACTATGATGACAAATAAATATTCAGTGAAGATATTCAGAGTATTGACAGGTTGCGAGTGAACAGTCATTTCATAACTGGTATCCTAGGGCTTATTAATTCCTAGCAGCTGGTGGCATCTGAGTTGCATTCCAATTGACAGGAAATAAATGTTTGAAAATATTCAAACACATATTGGAATTCGGATTTTTTTAAATGCTTCAATACAACCCACTACTTTTATTTATAATGTATTTGAATGAAAATTAGTCTTTTTATTATCCGGTTTAACTGAGTAATTTTTGATTTTCGATAATTTGAATTCAATATAGTTTCAGTTTTCAAAATAATTTTTTTTATATTTTTGTTAATTTTAGTGGGAAATATTGACAGAATATGGCAACAAAGGAAGTGTCTGCAATTCACATCTTGTATTAGATTGTGCTTGGAGACTTCCTGACTGGACAACTATGAAAGGTGGGTGGAAATGTTGGTTTCGTACTAAAAAAAAAACAGGTTTTTATATGTTTTTTTACTAACAGCTTATGAATTCCACGATTGGCACATCGGGCTATGCGTTCAAATAGGCCTGTCATCGCACCTCCGATTACTATGTTTGGAGGATTGCTGAACTCCTTGCCACTGTAAGGTGATTCATGTAACCGCTGGTTTGGTTACGGCTTTCTCCACAATCAAGTCCGGGCGTCTTATCATCATCTGCAACTGGTTAACTAATCCCATACCTGATATAAACCGGTAGCCGTACGAGAGAGAGGCTGTGGTAACCCATATCATTATTGACTGCCTCGTCGGCCACAACATTTATAACAAATTCTGATCCTCACTCCTGATTAATTTATTTCTTTGCCTGTCCTTTCTCCTAGAATAAATATGAAAAGTCCTATCTTAACCATAAAGGCCCGACCAGTGAATCATTCATCTGTTTTAAAAAGACGGCTGAATGAGGCTATTATGTCATTTGCAATGGAATTCATAGATTAAAGCTTTAATTGCTGCCACACGCCCACACCTATGTTTCATAAATACTTTAATCGAAGTGTGTGTGGTGAGGAGATATCTATTTCATGCAACTGACAAATGAAAATTTTATCATAATTACATGATGACTGTAAGTCCTGTTATTTTTCAGATGCTTTAGTTCAAGTTGAACTTTCTTGTCCGAAGGAAATGGCTTGGAAAGTCAACATGTATCGAGGATTTCTTGCAATATGTCATCCTGACGAACACCATCTGCATCTCATTGAAAGACTCGTTGACATGGCTAGTTCTCAAGCTATTAAAGTAAGTAAAGGGGTATTTGAGGTTTGTGACTTTGAAAAGCACATTTTAGCTATTCATTCACATTCCTGATAGTTGCCAGGAGAATACATACTTTCTAATATTGAATGTTACTCAAACAGTTTATTTAGAATAACCGAATACATATTCTAGATTGGAAACTAGGAGTCACATCTTAACCAAAATACAATAACCGACAACAAAACTAGGTAGTCACTGAGTCAAGTTTAAACAGACTGTTGTTATATATACCCAGTGTATATAATCACTCATATATATAATCAACACAAAGAACAATAACATTGCAATAAGGAAGAGTACGTGGTATAGCACAATTAAACAGAAATCATTTAACATATTCTTGTAATACATAAATGCTTTTTAGAGGGAATTTTCACTGTTTGGTCTGGTTTATTCAGACTTTGGTATAACCACAGAGAACTTCTGTTTTGCAGGAATGGAAAAGATTACCAAGAATAGTTTCTCACATTCACACACCTTTACTACAAGCTGCTCAACAAATTATAGAATTACAGGAGGCATCGCAGGTGGGAATCAAATAATATAATGTCCTTAAGTAATGGTTTCACTCAAGAATGTACAAAATGAATATTTGAATACATTTGAAATTGGTTAAATTCGATATAGTAAATATACGATTTTAGGAAGGAATTGAATTATTCAATTTAAAAATTTGTAATTTTAAGCATTTGTCAATGAATTGTCAGATGAAAAATAGGCTCGACTTTATTTTGATTTAAACAAAATTACAATTCGATTCCTATTTACAAAAATTTTCCAATTTCTCCGCTGGTTATGACACAATTTTAATTGTATGTAACACTTGTATTTGAAAATAATTTTTGGAATGTATTCGGACTAATAAACTATTTGATCATCCTTAAATCACTATCATTAAATAGACAAATTTTTTTACAAAGGTTCACCAAAGCTTACAGCCTAGTAATCTTGGACGCAGTAATTCTCTTCATGATATGAAAGCAATTGTTAAAACTTGGAGAAATCGACTTCCTATGACATCAGATGACCTTTCACACTGGAGTGATATTTTCATATGGCGTCATCACCATTACCAGGTAAAATAGTATCCATATTAAATTAGTGAAAAGCTAGATATTATCTGGTTAGACTTGAGTTATCATTTATCAGAGACTCCCAAGCGACTGGAGTTACCTGATTTGAAATGACTCATACTTGTGCACAACTAACCGCCAGTGAGACTTTATTCTGTGATTGCCTTGACTTTGGACTCAAAATTTGATGACCCATGTCTCAACTTGCAACTTAGGGTTAAGGGTCTACACAACATTGACTAACCTAATTATCTTTCCTTTTGTGTAAAACTAATCATAAAAATAATCACAAAGTATTTTGAACTGTTCAAACAATGAAAATCTTGTATCAATGAGTACATGATTCACAAGATTGATTATCAATTCTGTTCCAATTTTATGTGAAGTTGCGCAGACCAGAGTTAAGAAAATTTGATCATGAGTATTCTACTTCACCTTATGATGATTGCATTGAGATACCTTTTTTCTTATATTGTGACAAATGCTATTATCCGGATTCAAATTATACGCTATTGAATTCAATTGGGCCAAGTCATATTCACTATGCTAATTATCAATACTCCTGATGGGCATTTTCATTTCAAACAAGGCTCTACAGAAGAATCTACTATTTTTGGAAGTGCCAGAATCTTTCCTAATCCGTATTGTCCCCCAATTAAACCCTGAGTTCCTTAATCTGCTACCGCAGTTTGACTCAATATTCTTAACGCCAAGCCAATGCACCAGTGAATCACATGAAGAAGAAACCAAAGTGGGGATTTGAGATGTTTGCAAGGTATAAAAATGTGATTGAATCAAACACCCAGGAGATGTTGTCAATTTTATTTAAACTTCATATTTTCTTCAGGGCTTTAGATCTAACATTTAAAAATTTTCAATAACATCAAAATATTTATTGAATTTTTAATCTTACACAGGCAATTGTACAAGCATATGATGACATGTCAGCACTTCAGCCTGATCCCAATTCAAACCATGCAATGTTGGGGGTGCATGCATCTGCATCTGCTATCATTCATTACGGAAAAATTGCTCGGAAACACGGCCAAATCAATTCAGCTTTAGACTCATTGTCAAGAATTCATTCCATTCCTTCAGTGCCGATTGTAGATTGTTTCCAGAAAATACGGCAACAGGTTAAATGCTACCTGCAAATGACAGGTGTTATGGGGAAAGGAGAATGCATGCACGTAAGACAATTTTTGATATTAGTTTGTGGACAAGATCCTACATAGAGTATTGCTCCAAGTAAGCTGTATACAAGCAGGCACTTTGTTGGGTACTCTCGTAGGGTGTGTACCCGTTTAGGGTTAGGTCATTATTTTTATCCGATTTTCCTTAAGCTTTCCTTAAAATAGGTGAACAAAATTAGTTACCTCCATATTGGTACACATACTTCTGGAGCGCTCTTTGTTGTATCAAACTACTAGGACTACAGGGATGAAAATGGTTGATATTGTTACTCTAAATTTTGGTGTGCTTAGTTGGAACAATTGCCTGAAACACCATGACTCGGCCAACTCATGATGGCAGCATTGTAAAGACTAATATTCGGATTCCTAACACTCACAAAAAGTACTTTGTTTTTATCCTACTCCATATAATTTTTCTGAGAAAAGATAGTTTTAATCATTGCCTTATTGGACATACAAAACATTAAAAATGTGTATGTGAAAATGAATTAACATTAACAATTATTTTTTTCTTTAAAATACAGCCATATTTCTTTTTTTTGAAGAGTTTCGATAATGACCTAATAATGCTTACATACAATTTTTATGGCTTGAAAGTATTATATTTTAAAAGGAATAAATTGCATTTTTGAAACATGAGTCCATACACCCTAAACAAAAATGTGATTGGGCTAGATTTTTCTTTCTGATTTGATCCTATTTATTGTTTCAGGGTCTTGAAGTAATTGAATCGACAAATTTGAAATATTTTACCAAAGAAATGACGGCTGAGTTCTATGCTTTGAAAGGAATGTTTTTGGCTGAAATTGGAAAATCAGAAGAAGCAAATAAAGCATTTTCTGCTGCAGTGCAAATGCATGATGTACTTGTGAAAGCTTGGGCGTTATGGGGAGATTATTTGGAAAATGTTTTTGTGCAGGTACATTAGATTATTACAGAATTTTGAATGCTTATGGTTTGAACAAATTTTTTCCCAAAGTTTTATGATGTGTTATGCATTTACTCTAAACTAGGCCAGCAGCTCATAATACATATGATGATACTATTCTTTTAATATGACCATTGACATTGACTGGTATCTTTTTCATTGTCATAGTTCAGCAGGGTATAATAAATTAGGTAAGCAATCCTGTAGCTCCTCACATATTGTTCGATATCAGTCACTGCTTGTTCCGAGCGAAAGAAGTGAAGAAGTGTTATAGGAAAAAAACTTATTCAAAAGACTTTATAAAAGTTTTTCTCCAATAAAACTTCTAGATATAGTTATTTTTACTAATAGAATCCTAATATAAATTGGGTACGCAATGATTCCAGTATTCGTAATGATTCTGTTAGGAGTATTTTATTTTTCTAGCAACCTTCTCAAATCAAGCAAGGAGTTTCAGCTATCACTTGCTACTTGCACGCATGTCGGCATCAGAACGAACATAAATCAAGAAAATATCTTGCTAAAGTTATTTGGCTTCTTAGTTATGATGATTCTGAATGTGCTTTAGCTGACGCTGTGGACAAGGTATTGTTTTAATATGTATTTAGGATTAGGCTTCGGGATGGTTTCATCATGGTTAATTAAAGTGATATTTGAATAAATGTGAATGCTTTTTTTGGTTGGTTTTATAATTATGTAACATTTATCATTTTATCTTATATTTTAAGTGGACTAGTGTGTTCATGATGTATGAGATTGACTACAAATTGTGTTTTTTACAATTTTTTGAGTTTCATATTTTTAGTCATTGCTGGTGAGTTGGACAAAAACAAATTTCACGTAATTGGGATAGAATAGAAATATGTATTCATTTTGTGGCTAAAGAAAGTTTTTTAGATATGATTTTAATATTTATCCTGGAGGCGATAAGTCAATAAGACAACTTAATCATGTGTCTAATTAATCACAGTCAAATATTTGAACTTTCTTATTATCGTTTGAATATTTTTCAGTATTCCGTTGGAGTGCCACCAATTCAGTGGTTGGCTTGGGTACCTCAGTTACTTACGTGCTTGGTTTGCAGTCATGGAGCTAAAATACTCAACTTGCTGAGTCATGTAAGTGAAGTCATTATTGCCTTGTCATTGTTTTCTTGGCTTGTTTAATATTTACATTTTTATCTATAATATTTACAGGTTGCTAGAGTGTTCCCTCAAGCTGTATACTTTCCAATTCGTACTCTATATCTCACATTGAAGATTGAACAACGAGAAAGGTATAAAAGCTCAGAAGTGAACACTGCTGGAACTGCTGTAAGTCAGGTTATTTTTGATAAACTAAAGTGTGCATGTTTTTCTGCTACTTGGTGGTAACTCAGTCCATGGGGGGTAAAAATGCGTCTAGGGCTATAAGGTTTTTACTAGGCCTATCTAACCAGGCATAATTATATTTGCAATGATATAGAATATATTTGCAAAGAACTCCTTAGTTTCTAGGCTTTCATTAACTAGGACTGAACTAAGAAAAAGCACTAACTAATGAAATGTTACAACCTTGGTCTACACTAACCATGCATATATCACGATAATGTCTGTACTGTCACTATCATTAGTCATATTTCAGCTTTGTCACACATCATATTAGAATCGCAAATTAATGAATTTTAGCCCCGCAGATTTTCTTGTAGTCTCATGGATCCTTTTTCTCTAACAAATATGCTACATGGTTGTCGTTTTTTAATATTAGTATTTGAGAATATTTATCCTGAGTTTCATATCAATCTTCAGGTTTCATCTGGTAATGAATCCTCTCAAGAGTCATCTTCAGGTATTTTATTATTATTAGTTTTAAATTTTGTAATAATATTTGATAGTTTTTTGCCGCTTCAATTCTGAACCATGCTGTGTACAACCATCTTTTGATATGTAAGAAGATTTTTTGCAATCTTGCATTGCTCGCGCAGTTATTAACACCCCGGATGAAGTTGTGATCATGGGGTTTGAACTTGATAACATTTAATTGCTTGCTGCTTTTGAGTGTATGAACAGGAGTTGACGGTTCCTATTTTTAATATCAGATCAAGGCCACTTAAGAGCTGACAACTTTCAGTGATTCACTTTTTTATCAGTGGATTGATGTGGTTTTTATTTGTGGTTCCTTTTAATACTTGAAAAAGAAAAGAGTAAGGATTAATTCAACTTTGTTGGCTGTGTTCACTTGGGATATTCTGTTTCTTGTCCTTTGAACATTGCATTAACAAGATCGTTTAATCTGAATATTTTGTATTCACTATCACAACATGACTAAAACTATTTATTAATCATAATTCAGGAGAAAACAAACCTAACGTAGTCGTTTCACAACAATCTCAAACCCAAACTCAACAACAAAATACTACGGCAGGTGGGAGTGATTCTGGCCCAATTCGTGCCACACCATCTATGTGGCGATGCAGTCGTATCATGCATATGCAGAGAGATTTGCATCCAACGTTGCTGTCTTCTCTTGAGGGAATTGTTGATCAGATGGTTTGGTTTCGTGAAAACTGGCATGAAGAGGTACTATTTCAATTGTTAAACTATTTTCAAAATCAAAAAACTTTTTCCTGTAATCTTCGAATGATCTTGGTAGATTCCCTTTATGCAAACTCGAGTTAAAATATTTCCTCTATAATCACAACATCTTAAAACCATCAAAATGAACAGATGTGTTCTTTTTTTAATTTAAATAACATCCACAATGTTGAGTGTATGTCATCCATATAGTCTCAACATCCAAGTTGTTGAGAATTACAATTTCACAAATTTGCAAAAATTCTACCCACCTGAGCTTTGGTTTATTCGTTTTATACAATTATTCTTCAATTGCAAAAAATCAATTTTAATCAAAGTTCAAGCATATGCTTTTAAAGCATTTTGGGAGCAACTAGGTATATGAATGGTGAAATATTTACTCTCATTGTCAATAATTTTTATTTCATGAGATCAAATATAAATCTTTGAAATCTTTCTTATTTTCAGGTTCTTCGCCAGCTTTGTCAAGGACTTGCAAAATGTTATTCTGTTGCATTTGAGAACAGAGCAGCAGTTTCACAGGCTAGGATTACACCTCATACGTTGAATTTTGTCAGAAAACTCGTTTCGACTTTCGGTGTTGGAATTGAAAATGTATCAAATGTTACGCAAACATTTTCAAGTGCAGCCTCTGAGTCTCTTGCTCGTCGAGTACAGGTTAGTTTCTACCCTGGATCTTTGTTGCCAATGTGCTTATCCTGCGTGTTAAATTATTAATGTTGACTGGCTTTTCACCATTGTTCTCAATTCACATCTGATTTGTAAACACCTCGCAATCTTGAAGTTTGCGAGGATAAATATGTGTAAGAGAATTGTTTTGTCTTTGCCATCATAGGGTAATTCACATAATGAGTTGTGAATCTGATATTATTACCTGTTAAGCTATTCTCATATCTGACATGAACTGGAAATTAGATAAGATTGCCATATGATTGCGCTCTTTTTCCTCTTTCTCAAGATATGTGGTGTGACTACTGAAAACTCAGTAACATTCATAAACAATTTTTACCCTACGTACGACCTACTACCATGAAGCATCCTCCCACTTCAAAAATTGACTCTGACTGCAACTTTCCCAGCTGAAATTGTTTTTCACTACATATCCGGTTCCCAGGCAACACTGGAAGTTTTTTTCCCTCCAGCCAATGCTCGCTGTTTTGCTTGGTACTTAACATTCCATTACACTATTTGCTAGTTGGGAGGAGACAATTTTGTATAAGAATCAAAACTGAACATTTATTTTAAAACAGGCTACAGCACAAGATCCTGTTTTTCAAAAAATGAAAACACAATTTACAACTGATTTTGACTTCAGCATACCTGGATCAATGAAGTTACATAACGTCATCCAGAAATTGAAGAAATGGATCAAAATATTGGAAGCTAGGACAAAGGTAAATAATTGTATGTTGTGATGCAATTGTGCATTGCAAACTATTTTCTAGTGTGTCAAGAAATATCAATCTGTTTCCTAGAAAATATTTCTTATGCTCGCATTCAGAACTTGACACAGAACAATAAAAATCATTAGAATTAATGTTATGAAAGAACTACGTCTCTCGGATAATGGATAACCTGTCACATTATTATAATAGTTTATGTGCACAAAAACAAGCTCATCTATCACATTATTCAAGTACAGGAATTATAAATCCTACCTCAAACTTTCTTGTCAATGTGTAGTGTCAATGTCAACCTTTTCGATTAGGCCTGATGATATTTTAGGATTTTTTAAATTTATAAGCCATTTTTCTATTTTTAGGTGATGCAAAAATCATTCTTGATTGAGGAAAAATGTCGTTTCTTGAGTAACTTCTCTGCAAGCACAGCAGAAGTTGAGATTCCTGGGGAATTTTTGATGCCTAAAGCAACTCATTATTATGTTAAAATAGCAAGGTTTATGCCTAGAGTTGAAATTGTTCAAAAGCACAATACTGCTGCTCGGAGATTGTATATTAGAGGACACAATGGAAAAATTTATCCTTATTTGGTAAGTATACGATGACGAATTAGTTTATTTTACTTGTGTCTGTGAATAACGCTGTGTGAAACCTAGCATTGTGATGGCTTTTTCCCTGACATTGAACGATTATAAAGCTGGAAACAATACTAGTTTTTTTAATTTTTTGTTGAATTGAGACTTCTAAAAATATCTACTATGAAACATCTGAAATTTATGCTCTAATCGAGCCTCTGTATAAATAAATATATGTGCTACAAAATATAAATGAACTTTTCTTTGGAGGACATAGCGTTTCTAATTTTACTTCATTGGTAAGGTGGTGCAGATGGATGTTAAAACTGAGCTGTCTAACCTACAACGCCAGAGTAGCTATGTACAACGCACACTGTGACCATTGGACCAATGTACCCATAAATTTGAAATAAACTGATCAAAATGAGTTTTAATTTTGCTGACTTCTATTTAGGTAATGAATGACGGATGCCTGATTGAATCTCGGCGTGAAGAACGAGTATTGCAACTATTACGCCTTCTCAATCCTGGCCTTGAAAAAAGGAAAGAAACAGCAAAACGTCAACTTTTATTTACTGTTCCGCGTGTTGTTGCTGTTTCTCCCCAGATGAGACTTGTAGAAGACAATCCATCTTCTCTCTCATTGCTGCATATATATAAACAGAGGTTTGTGCTTTTAGTTTTCACATATGTTAAACGGAAAGCATACTCAGATCTAGTTTAATTGGAGAGCATTTCAGAAAGTAGTATGCTCGGCACACTAGTATTAATATGGACTTAGCTTAACCTCAATCTGGTCACAGCTCTCTCTTTCGCTTTTCACTGTTGTGGGTGTGGTGGCTTAGTATTTGACTTGACAATGATCGCATCACGGGTCTAAATTCAGCAACATTCAGGTCTAAATAGTAACTCCTCACATATAAGTGGTAAGTGGTATGCAGAGCCTTGTGTAGAATGGAAAGTGCATGAATATGCCGTGAAAAAGAAGCCACTATTGGTATGTTAACGTATGTTGCGCAAACATTGTATGGTCTAATGACCTTGATCACTGCAAGCTTGTCAACATATGTAACCAAATCAATGGACTATCTTCTGGTCAAGTTACTTCTAAAATAAAAAGATAATTATTTAGAAACTATCCTAAAACTTTCGTATCAATATAATATCCAGGTGTGCGAAAAAGAATGTTGAATACGATGCTCCAATCAGTAGATATTATGAAAGACTAACATCTGTGCAAGCAAGAGGAACTCAGGTATACTTTTAGAATATGTAAAATGTATAAAAAGTAGAATTTGATAATCAATTACATAATTTGTTTGTTATAATGATATATTTTGTCAACTAAAACCAATCTTTGAACATTGGTGAAATATAGGCTTGCCGGTTGGCGCATTGTGTTAAGTGTTAGGAATACACTCGCCATCACACATATTATTACCCTGTGTAAGTTTGAATCTCGTGAGATAATTGTGTGATAGAGGATTGCTGGACTCCTCGCCGCTGTAGGATGATGATTCAGTAATCGTTGGTCAGTGATAACTGTCTTCACTATGAAATCCATGCATTTGAAACAGACTGCTAACTAATCCCATACCTGACATAGACTGTTAATCGGACAAGAGGCCATGGTTCGTCATATGATTAAGCCATCTCACTTTTCACATCCCAGAATAAATATGGAAATCTTATCCTATAATAAGACTTAAAATAGTGGCAACCTTTTATTTAATCAATATTAATATAATATCAGTTCCTGCTTTTTGAAAACTATTTGAGTCATATTCTACCATTTAAATAATTACTTTATGACATTCAGGTTGGTCACCAAGTACTTCGAGACATCCAGAAAGAAGTGCAAAGTAATACTGTACCTCGCAGTATGCTGAAAGAATGGGCAACACATACTTTTCCTGCTGCTACAGATTATTGGACTTTCAGAAAGACGGTCACACTTCAGTTAGCATTACTTGGATTTGCAGAATTTGTCTTGCACTTGTCAAGACTCAATCCAGAAATGTTGCAAATTGCACAAGATTCTGGTCATCTTCATGCAGCATATTTCAGGTAGGCACCCCTGCGTGATGGAGGCAGTATGTTTCTTGCTTTGTTTACTTACTAACTCGCTTATAAGAAGTACAACTACCAAAATATTACCTTAATGAAAAGGCGTTAATTTATTTTTGCCCAACTAGTCCAATGAGAATTCAATTGAACATTTTAAAATCTTAATTCATTTTGTGGTTTATAAAAAGAGCTTTGCTCACAAGGAAGAAAAAGAAACAAATAAACCATTGCTATTTGATCATTGTTACAACTTAATAATTGTTTCAACTTTAGTCGTGGCTCAAGCCCTAAATGACTAGCAGTTACATGAATCGACCTGTTATAGCAAGAAGTCCAGCAATTTTCTCACACATAATTACTTTCGAAAAGACACAACCTACAAACCCACGCAGGACAATCAGCAGTGCTATTTACCAAGTCTAATGCTTCCTACCCTCCAAATTTGATACTGATTTTAAAAAACAAAATACAATTATAAAACTAGGCTATTTTTCAACTTTATGTGAATGAGATAAATTAAGCTTGACAATATTTAAATATTTTACTTCTTTTACAAATATAAAATTGTTTTTGATTCAATAACTTTTGCTAAATGCTGGTTTCTTACTTTTTTCAGGTTTGATGTTGGTGATAATACAGGTGAATTGGATGCAAATCGATCAGTTCCTTTCCGTCTTACTCCGAATATCACAAGTTTTATTTCACCTGTCGGTGTTAGCAGTGTCCTGACTGCTGCCATGATTGCCACTGCGAGATGTTTCATGCAGCCTAGTTTTAAGGTTGGTGTTTGAAAAAATTCATTGGAATGAATTTCCAATAAGTTTGAAAAATTATACAAATGGTCAATTTGATGTCTCATATCTTCTACATATGGGACAAATAGCCCCCTGTTTTTATGCATCATTGACTGTGACCAAAATACACTTTACAGCATAGAAAAAGAGTAATTCTAAGCAGTTTTCATTGCCTTTTCATGAATTTTTATTTGTATGTGTTTAGGTGGAAGGCTTACTTCGTGCTATTCTCCGAGATGAAATGATAGCTTGGTATAAGAAAAAGCAAGATGATGTCACACAACCTGCAACTATGGTTCCTCCAAATACACAACCCCCTGATATTGCAAGGTATTTCATATCTAAACAACTGAATTTCTCTGTAATATTTTATACTGAGTGTTATAAATAGGGCATAGAATTCATCATATAGGTTATTTATAAAGACTCTTGCTTTTCTGTTGTAGGTTCTGCTATACGCTATCCTACTGTAACCACACTGTAAGTGTGATTCTTTGTATAGATATATATAGCATGAACTTTTTGTGAGCCATACGAAGAAAACCCACTTGATATTCGTAGAAAAGAAGCAAGTGTATAAGACAGACAGCTAAATTAGAATCATGTATATTTGCTATGGATACCAGTCCAGGTCAGGCATAAGCGTGTTTACCAGTACAGTACCGGACCGAAGTAAGCGGTACCATTTCAATGATTATCTGAAATCTGCTGTGATGATGATGATTATGTCACAAGCAAATTTGCCAATGGCGATCACCATTCACGAATTCCAAATATTTGTTGTGACTGCTTTGTTTGGTAAGGACATTTTGCAATAGCTTTGTCGAATTTCTGTTTGATCATGATCTGCATCCCTTGTTTCTGTTAACGTAAAAAAATCCAAGGTTGTCATAACTACTCTTATTCCAGTGACCAGTTGGTGGCGCTAGTGAATCATGCTGTCAAAATGATAATGTCTCGTCTTCAAAATCTCGCTGAATTTGAGGGCGGAGAAAGCAAAGTAACATCGCTCGTGAATGCAGCAACTCTACAAGAAAATCTGTGTCGAATGGATCCTGCATGGCACCCATGGCTATGAAAAGCACCACATAATTTGTTGTATATACAGTTCTTGGTTTTATGAAGTAAAATGACACTTTTGCTATTTTCTGACTAGCGACTTACTTTCTAGAAGGCTGATGGCTTACTAATCACTTTTTTCGGCTTTAGTGGTAGAGATCATCGCTAACAATTAGTGCTTTCCTATTGTCCAATAGAAATGCCTGTGGTTGCTTACCTTTCAATCATGTTGTTTAAGTTTTGTACATTTTTGTATCATATTTTTAGTTTTCTGTGTTTGAATAAATATTCGTACATGGACTGTATATCAGATTTTGTGAGTTGTATTGTGAATTCAGTCAGATTAGGATTATAGTTTAAATTTGCACCCAACTTATTTTTTTATGTCAGAATTTATATGTGTCGTGTAATAGCAGAATTCGCTTCAACTTATTTATATTCTAGATATGAATGGCCACGACAAGTAGGATTTGGGTTTCAGATTTATCCTGAGGTAGAGAAAAGTCGATAAAGACTGATTAGGAGTCCAGCAATGCTTTCGCACATAATTATGCCTCGCGGCATTTGAACCTGCAGTGTAAGCAGAAGTGCGATGACAATCGTTTCCCCGATGGTTAGCACGATGCGCAACCCGTCGAGTTGAACATATCATTAAGATGTCAGCCCGTATAAAACATGATTCCGATGGTTGAACTAGTAATCGTTATGTTTTTTTGCCGCCAGCCATAAGGCTTGCTTAGTGTTGTTTTAGTTGAAGATTCCGGTTTCAAACCTCATGCTCGCTAATTTGACCCATGGCGTGATAAATTGACTGGTCAATGCTGAGCTAAAACAATTTTCTACAAATAGTATTTATCAGCGGATGATTGTCCAAGCCACACTCGCGAATGTTTGAAAGAAAATTCCTTTCCAATGGATATATCTTATTCCTTCAAAGAATTATGTGATACCGTGATTCTATATAATAATAGAAGTAATATTGGTCACTACGTACCCTGAAGGCATATGTACACATTCTACAACAGGGGTGTCAAACTCGTTGGTTCTCGAGGGCCACATTGCATTTTGGGAATTGTGCAAAGGGCCGCAAACAGTTTTCGATGTATTATGATAATGTATACTTAGAGCATATTTTTAGATAGGTGTAGTTTGTGACGTATATTGTGATTCAATCAAACAGCCGAATGAAGTTTTGTTATTTTCTTGAATTTCAAATGCCATTTACATATTATTTTTGGCATTTCACTATTATTGCAATTTACAAAAATTCATAGTCATTACAAAAAATCATAAATATTTCTATGTACAACTATCCAAAACATTTTTGAACAAAGATTTTTATTGCATATGTCCTGACGTTTGACATCTCTTTTGTGCCCCCAGCTTACTAATATCAGGATGAAATGATTTTATAGTACCAACTCTGATTAACGAAGTCACATGATCATCGGTTAATCTGGATCGTTCAGAATGTTTGATTACTTTCATTAATGCAAAAATTTACGTTTTCACTTCATGTATAGATCTGTAAACAAACAAATGTCGGATTTTTCGGACCAGACATTTCCTACCATTACGTGGCATAAGACCTCTTGAGTTATGATTGATAATGAATTTTAGTAACTAGGTAGTTGTATTATAATATTAATATACAAACACACGAACATTTTCTGTTCGAAGTTGATCTATAAATCTGTCATATTAACTGCTGATCTTATTCTGAGAATGTCTACTTATATTGTATTCTTTCATTGTACTGATGGAAATATGACAAATTAAACAATGCGCATCAGAATTTGAGAAATGCAGAAATATTGCAACGCCCAGTTTTCTTCAAAAATACTGCCTTTAATTACTTAATCCCTGAAGTGTTTTTCAAGTACTCTTTTGCTAGCCATAATTGGATCATATTGAAAACAAAAAAAAATTAATTTTCTAAAACCACTTTCAGTAAATTGTCGTTTCTGTGTGAATATTCAATTCAAAAATGTATAACATTTATATAAAAAAAAAACTTGCAAAAATATTACAAATATTGATGGACGTTCGAGGGCCGCATTGGAAGTTCTCTGGGGCCGCATGCGGCCCGCGGGCCGCGAGTTTGACACCCCTGTTCTACAATAGAGCGACAGAAATGTTGAGAGAAAATCCTAATTCGCATTTTTCTCGCACATTTGCCACTAAAATCGGCAGAGTTGATACGAAACTCTGATTTTACATAAAAATACGCTGCGTGTGTATTTGATATATATAAATTTCTTATTATTTAACGTGTTATTATCGCAATAGCAGTATGCAGTGGCGTACCTAGGGTGTGGCAGCCATGGCTCGTGCCATTGGCGCCGTTTGGACAGGGGCGCAAAAAAAGGCGGAAATTTTTATTTGTAAAATTTTATAATAAAACAATTTCACATGGTTAATAACTGTTACTAGTATTTTTACTCAAATATTAACGTAGTAGTAACTTAGTTCCTTGACAGTCATTATAAATTGAAACTAACTATCAAGGGGGGCGCATTTTTCAATTTTGCCATGGGCGCAATTTTATGTAGATACGCCATTGACAGTATGCGTTCTTGTTATTCTAACCTCTAAAAAGCGATTCAATAGTCTTGATGCGCACTAACTATTTCTGTAACGTTTCCTCTGACCAATTGAACAGTAATATACTTGAACTATGTATGTCTGAGGAAGTATGGCCTTGGTCAGACGAAACATTACAGAAATATATATATATATATAATATATGTATTTGTGTTAGTGTGCTGCAAGACTCTTGAATTACTCAGGATAGTTATCTTCACTCTTACTACAGCATACTTATATGGATCCACCGGCACAAAAGCATAGAAGAAGGAAAATAGCCTAACAAATTTTCTTGAAAATGCGCGTCAATTTTACTATGTGACGTCACTATGTTTCCATAAACTACTTGAAAATTTTGACAACACTTAACACGTTATAAGTATCATTTCTCTAAATCGAATTTAGTGAAGGACGCTTAAAATTACTTTCAAAAGAAGTCGAGTGTTTTTATAAATGGAACTTCTCTTTAATGTAAACATGTGCTCGTATGGTGCAACATTAAATCCGGTTAATTAAACGAATTAAAAAAAAGTGTGAAGTTATCTTGCGCTACACGATAGAAAGAATATAATTTCCTTGCTACACGAAATGTGACTGCCACACTGGCTAACGTAAGATGTTGAATGGAATATATTCTATCTAATTCTACTGGAATTCAGACAAAACACATCATAACAGATTGGAAAGTTAATCATGTTTTTCAAATATTACATTCAATTTTCACACTCTCATTGTTTTTTATAAAAAGATAAAAAAAAAAGTAGATATTGTAACAACATCTTGTTTATATATTTAATGAACCACCCGAAAATTTAACACGAAACCTTTGAAATTTTAAAAATAAATGAAAACGAGTGAGGGATACATTTTAATTGAAATTGTATTTCGGGCGAGTAGAAATTTTGCTTCACAATCGCAGAAAATGAGTATTTCGGGCGGGTTGAGGTATTCATTGGAATGAGTATTTGTATACTTTTTTCCACAATTTCGCCATACCCCTAGAATAATATGTAATACTAATGACAACGATTGCATCAAAATTTTGCAATTACGTGTCTCGAGGTGTCAATTGTTGTGTATATTGCATGTGAAATATATATTGTCACGCTAATAACCGAATTGCGTAAGTCATTTTTGGCGACTTTGAGTTTTTTATAAAATAGGTATTTCTGTAATGCTGCGCACCTGTCTGTTAACTCAGATTTTATTTTAAAATTCCGAAACCCATAAAAATGGAGATTTAGTATGACCATTGATGACTTAACAATGGATAGAAAACTCATTGTTGTCGCCACAGACGTGCCATCACGCTTGAATGACCTTCTGTAAAATCATATTCTGGGGCGCTTAAACAATGCTTTTCTTATGGCGGAGCCTCGTGAAATTAAAGCCTGAAATCTCGTAAAATGGGGTAATTCAATATGTTTATACGGCCGTATTCATATACACTGTTGAAATATAAGTTATATGATGTATTCGGACAAATTTATAATTGGCCACAAGTGCGAACATGTAATCCAAAGTGGGATATGCGACCAGAGGGTGGTTTCTGATCAATTTGTGAGGATTGTGGAAATGTCTGAATGGCGTGCGATTGCATTTTGTTATATTAGCCGATCTAATTCAGCGTGATCCGTAACGTTGGACTCCGAGCATCTTCACGTCGTTATTTATTCTCGCTTAATTTCCCGCTGCAAATTTACCCCATTTCAGAATATCATTGCAAGCATCTTGTTTCAAAAAGTTGTTTTGTTCCGCATTGTAAAATATATAAAATGAAACGAAAAATACCTTTAGTTTATTTAGGCTGGTGACAGATTAAAAGCTCTTTTTCAGTTGGTAAATTGCCCTTGAGAACTATACCATAGTCACTGAATCCCTTCACTATGCCTGCGATATACTTTTTAGGGCAGGAGTGTGCGACCATCATTGACAGAAGGCCAGATACAAGTTACTGAATAAAGCCGATGGTGCACCTATAAACTCTCCCTATGAAATGCTCTGGATACAAAAAAAAATCAACTTACAAAAATTCTTCTCGTAATATTGCTTCGCTAACATACTATTTTCTACATACGAAAGATCGAAAACCTTTCAAACGCGCGTAGTGAAATTTGTTTAAATTAGGTTAATTTAATGCATTGCTTGAAGAAGTGAATACCGAATATGGCGCACATATCCTAGCGCCACCGTAAACGTTTTGATTTGAAACATTGCAGCCCTGTGCGACACGGCAATGTCTTGATAGCGAAATTCAGTGAGAAGACGATGATGCGATAAAAAAATAAATATAAAATTTTGAATTTCATGTATGTGTGCTCATTTCCTATGAATTTTAATCGAATTCAGTGAAAAGGGCGTTTTCATAACATTGTGCATTTCGTAACAGGATTTTGCTTGCTTGTTTTAGTGATATAACCGTGGCACTCAGCTTTGTGAAAGAGAAAAAGAATAAAATTGCTCGCACGCACCAAAATAAATGATCTAAAAACTCGTTTTGTGGGAACACCATTCAAAATTGGCGCTTCTCCGCGAGCCGTACAAATTTTCTTATCGGGCCGCAGTTTGCACATCCCTGTTTTAAGGCATTCTGAAACTATCTTCGGGGCCACATGCAACTTCACTCTGGTTATTATGAAATTTTAATGTACTAAAATGAATCGTAGTTTTTTTATATTTTATTCCAGACCTGGGGATTTTTATAGCGTTGAAAAATAAAAAATAAT